GCGCCTGTCCCAGTAGGGTGTGGCACTAGCTCGACAGACATGGGCCGGTCCGCATCTGCTCACGCTTGGTGCGGGCCGTCAACAAGCGTCGCGGTCCTTTTCTTGGGGAATCATTTTGTGGAAGTACACCAAGAAATCGCAAGCTGAGTATCTTTTTGACATGTCTAGCTCCTAGAAGAGGCTTTCTTGAAGCGGTTGGCGGCATTTGGATCTATCAAATTCATTGTAGAACTTGCAGATTATCTGGGATCAAATGGATGTCAAGGGCCTCCCAATAGGCCCGTCTCTAAGAATCAGTTAGAGATTGAACATAATTTTGATTGGGCTCAATGAGGAAATACTTATTCCGAATACTATTGCGCATTTTATCCTAAATTTGGAATCTTGGCAGACCACCCTGCCAAATCGACAACTAGCATTTAAGCCTCATTTTCTATAAGGAAATAAACCAGCCATACATTCGAATATGTTGAGTTAGAAGTTAAATCAGAATGGTTCTATTCAAATTAGACTTCATACTGGAAGTATGTTTTCAATAAAAGGTATTCTACACATCTAGCATATACCGCGCAAGCAAACTTTGTTCAAACAGAGTTCAACGCGAATTTCCATTTTGTACTGGATTTTGACGCAGGAATGCCCTTCAATAAAAGCAACTGCACTGGATCTGCCACACACCAAAAAGAAAATCCGAGAACACACAAACACACGCATTCTCCCAGAACAATTGGCACAGTCAGTAACCTACCTCTTGCAAACGTATTTGAGGAATGTTTTTGTTTCTTCCGTTTTTGATCTTTGCGTTTTCGTGGTGCTTTGGTTTTCTCGAGGTTTGTTTGTTGTGTTTTGGCTTTAGGGAGGGCCGCAGTGGACAGACTGAAAATTGTGTCGTTTTTCGTCTAGATATGTCGGGTTACCTGGAGGTGTGTTTACTTCTGTAGAAACCCCGATGTACAAATTGGGATCTTTGGCAGGCTGCAACTTGCACATATCTCAAGCAAACATACACTCCCGCAGACCCTTTGCCAGAGTGCGCTTTAGAGAATCTGTGGGCACTGGTAGCCCCCCGCTTTGCCCTGACAAATCTCCAACGTGAATCTCCCTTAGTGGATGCGCCTTTTGTCAGGCAGAGAAATAGTTCTTGGGAGATCGAGGTTTTACTGGTCCTTTGGTTTTGCAGATTGGGGAGTGGTATCGGTGTGAAATGCCTTGCATTCATATGCTTCCATTTGTTTAATATTTTTTGTTGTTTTCCCCTGTTTGTTTTAAAAGGAATCGATCACTACTGGACATCTTTTTAGTTTGTCCTGCGGGCTTAAGCACATGGACGTATAACTTCAATCGCGTTCCAGCTTGATGTTTGTTTGTTCAACATGGGCTCGCTGAAGGGGTCTGGCTCAAGTGTCTGGCAGAAGGGGTCTGGCTCAAGTGTCTGGCAGAAGGGGTCTGGCTCAAGTGTCTGGCAGAAGGGGGCTAGCTGAAGGTTCAAGGGGCTGCAAACACACAGACACATTTGCTTATGGGGGTAGGGTTAGTTTGTCTGGACTCGGTCAGGATTGGTTGCAGTCAGGTGATCTAAACAAACCCCTCCACCCCATGCCATTTTCGGCCACGTGTCGAGGATTGTCTTGGACCCTTTTCCAACAGTTTTCCAACGGTTCCATGTGGAAGGGATCCTTGGAACGCTTGGGTGCTTTTCTATAAAACCCAGATGCCCGGTGGCGCCCTTTTTTCCTTTTGTTTCGGGAAGGGGTTCCCTTTGAACTCAACCAAAAGGATGCCGCGTCTGTTGCATGGCTACTGGCATCTGAGTAAACCTCCACAACTAGGTCCCCCAGTAGTGCCCTTTCTCACCCCTTTTTTGGTTGGGAGGGTTCCCCTACTAAAATCGACAAAACCGATAAAAGTTGGTACCAGGTTTGTTTTGTTTGCTCAAAAGTCTCGGCATGCCAGCCGGCCGGTGAAGCCCTTCTAAAGCAAAGCCCAAATGGCTTGCATCGGAACGCCAACACAAGCCAACCGGTTTTCCTGGTGAACTTTGTTTTTCTTCTTATGCGTTTTTGCGAGAGGGGCTATAATTTTTAGTTTGACGGGTGGTTTGGATTTCGATTTGAACCCTACTGCTTGTAGAGGGTAGATGGATTTCTCGCTCCCTAACCACCCAACCACCCAACACCGGGCTGCAAATGTCCCGCTGAGTGGCTTTGGCTTTGGCTGCCGAATCTCCGGATGCGTTTTTCAGGGCGGCAAGCTGCCGCTGGGTTCAAACCACGAAAACAACGCCTCCATGGATTCGGAGACCATCGTGGAGCACCGGAACTCCAACTTGTCGCGGGTGTCCAAGGCGAGAGACTTCCCATGGAGCCGAACAGGTGAAGGACCTTTTTTTGCTCAGGAGGGAGGAAGAAGCCTTTTGTTCAGGAGGGAAATTTCAGGGAGGCAAACATTTAGTGGGTTTACAAAATGTACCAGCTGGGATGGATGAATCCACATACAAACTGGAAGAAAGCACCTGCCATTTGGCACATCCGCAGTAGGTGTTACTCTGCGATTGAGCCAAGGCAGGTATGGCCCGTCACAGAGAGCCCGAAAAAGTTGGCGGTTTCCTTTCGAAGCCGCCAAAAAGGGGGGGGGAGATCTCCAAAAGCAACACTCCAGCAAGTTGGCAAAAGGCCAAAGGGTACTTGGCTCAAACGGTGCTCGACTGGAGGTAGAGCCAAATGAAGGTCCCCAACAAGATGCCTCACTTCCGGTTTTTGATCTTGGTTCCCAAGCCCCTGTTAGATCAGGGTGCCCGTTGAATTAATAAAGGACAATCATGCGTACAAGGCATCCCAAAAACTTGATTGTTGGAGCCCTTTTAGCGCCCCCAATGAGACCTTCAGACGTTTAGAGCTTCGAGGGAGTGATTGACATACCCCACTAAATGCAGGGCTTTTCAAGCAAGGGATCAACGAGCCACCAAGGGTAGAACGGTTCACAATTCCCTCAAATCTCCCCCTGAATTCAACTTCCAATCGTGGCATTTCCATTTAGCAGATTGCAACTTTTGAAGGGTAAACCTGACCCCTGCGGTTGGAGTGCATGAACAAACGTGAAACTCGAGTAAATATATGTTTTAGTGAGTTTTCGCCGGAGCGCTCTCCTCGAGTTCCGTTTGACCATGCCAAGGTCTCAGGTACCATCGGAGACATCTTTTGACTAAAATCATGGTGGAGAAGATGTAAATCCCAAGCTTGGAACCTTGACCGAGTCAAGAGAAACCGTTCCCCGAATAGCTCCTCAAGGAGAATTCGAGAGCAATTTGGTGGGTGTGGCACGGGAAACCTAGGTCCTCCAAAAGCCTTTCCTGGATGGAGTCAGGCGAGGGTTCAACTCCTGATTTGTCCATGATTCATGCTGGAGACTGCGGAGCTCTACATTCCCCACAACTGGGGACACGCGTCCAAACAAAAAAAGATCTGTGCTTCGCGGCTCCTATTGGCTTCAGGGAGCGACGTGAGGTCGTGTTCCCGGCTCTTGATGTAAAGCTTCTCATGGTTGTTGTTGGGAAACATGTTGCATTTTTGCTTGTGGTTCAGTGGGACCTCCCCACACTGCCAAAATCCAAATGTTTGCTCCCCTTCCAACGTCAACCAAGTTCAGGCCTAGGAGTGGGAAATCCCGTGTTGTCGCCGATGGCCAGCCGGCTTTGAAGGACAGCTCATAGCCATGTGGCGGATTTTTGCGGATTTCGCCGCGGCATGAGCTAGTTTCAAGCTGGGGTTCATGTTTGATTCCGTAGACTTCCGGGTTTTCCAGAGGAAATCAACCTCGAAGTCTACAGTAAAGAAGCAGGTCAACAAATGGGATGTCGCTGGTTTTCCAGGCGTGCAATGCGGGTTTTTGGTTGGTGGCTTGGATTCTGTGGGTAAGTCGCGGATACAATCTCCAAGCTCCACACCTCGATTCGGCTCACCGGTTGGGAAACTGCATGGGATCCACTAGCTGTTGCACACTTCAAGTGGACTAGGGGAAGCGGATATCCACCCCAGGGAAGTGGATATGGGTCCGCTTTCTTGGGGATACCAAAGCTTTGGTGCTGCTTTCTTCCTGACCTCCCCCAGCCCCCTGCGAAAGCCAAAAGCGCGCCATCGCCAGGTGTCGAGGCCTCGCCCGGGCCTGGCGCCGCTGCCCCGGCCGTTTTTGTTTCTGCTTTCTTTTTTGTTTCTCCGGTTTTCCGGGTCGGAGAACATGGGGGCCCCGCGCAACCCGAGAAAGAAAAAGTTGTTTTCGTTGTTTCCGCATGTTGCTTTCATTTGTGGTTTCTCTGGTGGAGGTGTGGTTTCCCTTCTTCCTTTTTACTGCTGGTTTCCTTTTTCGGTCAACATCTAAATAAATTTGGGGGGTGGTCAAGAATATGGCCCCGTTTTGAACGGTGCCGCGCAAGGGGCCGCCTTCTGAAGGGAACTACCAAAAAGGGCCCCACATTTTTGACAACCACGCAAACAAATGCACCCCAAAACGTGGACTTGTCCGGTTTTCCTTTTGATTTTCCTTCAAACAAAGAGTTAAAGCGGGTACCGCGCCTCAAGAAAAATGTAACAACGACCCAAATCCTTGTTTCAGCTTTTTGTCGAGCAACGCTCAATAGTATGACAAGGGGCACTTTCACCAATTGTTGCCGCTAGGAAATCGGGCTACTTACCAAAATCCAACGTCAGGGCACACAATGAATATTGACCATGGCCCATTTGGGTTTGTTTGTTTGGGAGTTGTTGGTACTCTAAAAAAACTTGTAGGCTCCCCAGTTTTGACGCATACGTTCCTTCTGTTGGCCTTTTTTTGTTGTTGTTTTTGTTTCACTCTTTTCATGTGACGCTTCCTTTTGTTGCTTGTTCGTGTGTTCGGGTGTGTGTGTGTGTGTTTTTATTTGTTGTCTTTTCTTCTGCAGTGTTTTCCTTTGATTGTCGTGTTTCCTTTTCGTTGGCGGCCCTTTGTGTTGGCTTCCATACTTTGTGTTTTTCCATTTCTGTGTGAGTTGCCCTTCCTCGTTGGTTTTTTCTTTGCTTTTATCGTGAGCAAACCTTTTTGTCGGGCTCGCTGGCTTTGTTGCCTTTTTTGTTTGGTGCCCTTCTTTGGTGGTTCTCTGTTTTAGCGATTTCCCCTTTTCCCTGCTTGCGGTTTTTTGGCTGGTTGCCCTTATTAGTAGGTTTTCCTTCCAGAATGCTAGTCTCCTTTTCCGAGGTCGGCTCTGCGAGTTTCTGTCGTTTTCTTTTGGTATCCTCTAGTTGCTTTGCCTGTTGTGCAGTTCCCTGTTGCACTTTCACTGGTTTCTCGTTTTGGTGTTCCTTTGCTTTACTTCGCGGGTTGCTTGACCTTTCAACAACCAAGGCTTTCCTGTTTTTTCCCTAGGAAGCCACATGGCAGGAGGGTGTTTAAAGGACCGGTCATGAGCAAGGATGGACACCTCGATTGGTTTGCAGGTCAATCAACCACACGGAAAAGAGAAAAACCGAAAAAAAGAAAACACACACACACACATGATGAGTCACGGTAAATGAAGGATTCCTACTTCCCCTGCCCTGTTTGCTATATATTTTGGGCATCCGCCGTGTCTAGACACTTTCTATGCGAACCGTGACCCATAGCTTGATTTTGCCAGAAGGGTTTTTTGTCAGAGAGCCACTCCGGATCTGGCAAGGGCATGTGCCGGACAAGGGGTTTCAAAGAGGGCCACGGGGGTTCTGCAACGAGAAATCGCAAACAAGGCTGCGCAGATGTCTACCCCTGTGCCCTTGTTCAACTTCCCATTTCGGAATCACTCCTGAATCAAAGCGGCCCATTTTGACACCTTCTCTCGGTTTTGGCCACCAACGGCCAAAGGTGATTATTTCTTGCCTCTCGAATGAACAAACATTTACCCCCTACTCCAAATACCCACTTTTTCCAGGGCTTTTTGTGGAAAACCTGGTTTTTCAAGGTAATTACCTCCTTTGTTAGTAGAGGGTCGACATGATACCCTAAAAAAAGTGGGTATTTGGAGTCGGGGGTAAGCTTTTGTTAGGTTGGGAACTCTTCAAGCCGGTCGACTCAGCATGTCATCATCTGTTTGTTCAGGGTTGCGGAGTTTGCTTGGTGATTCGAAACGATGCGAAACGGTTTGCTGGACAACCTCACTTTGTCTCGTGTACAGGCATGTGGGTAGGGACATCCCTATGCTTTCCAGGCATCCTTGTCTCCAGAAAACAATAAATAACTTGCTTCAGTTTCTGTTACCAAATTTTGTTTTCAACACTGATGTCCACTTCGCAATAGAGCTGAATCAGGGCTCGTTCGCGTGAGTGAATCACTACATGCAGAATCAAACATGTGATGTCGACATTGCGGACCCCCTCTTTACCCTCAAGAACCAGGGGACAAGCCATTTTTCCCATGTCCTGGACATAATGTTGACCCGGGCTAAAAACCCGGCGTTTCAGCCATATCTAGAAAATAGTAATAACAACAATGATAATGATGATAATAATAATAACAACAATAATAATCATGATGATAATAGTAATATAAGACAACATAATCCGAAATGTCTGTGTACCCCCGTGGGCTCCAAGAACGGACTCACCGGGTAAAGGCCTCGCGTTTTTTCTCACCAAATCGAGGTCTGACAGCTTGGGGAGCCGGCACGGCGTATGTTCCACCACCTCCGCAGCGCTGATGAGGCAGGGGTTGGCCTGGCCAATCTCCCTGCTAAAAGGGCTGTTCTCATACTGTGGAGGGACGAAATCCTGCACCACCTAAGAAACCTTGGAATGATGCTTCCCCTGTAAAAACCAGCAAGCAATGGTTTCCCCTGGTTTCCAAGTGGTGCAGGATTGCGTCCACCCACAGTAGGTGTCCTTTTTTGGCAGTTTTGCCAAAAATACTAGAGGACTTCGTGCTTGTCTCAGATCTGTGGGGAGCATAGGTGTCCTTTTTGGTTGTTTTGCTAGGGAAATAGATGGCCCTCCTTAATACCAGGGCCATCTATTTCCCCTAAGAGGACGCCTATGGGCGTTCTACTTCGTAGGGTGGTAGAAGGTGAACATCAAGCGAAGAAGGTGCAGGGGCTCTACTTTGAGGGGCAGGGTACCTAGTAAGTGGTTACTAACCATGGTTATAACCCACTTAGCGTGGCTATAAGTCTCCTAAGCGGGTTGTGGCCATGGTTGCCAACCACTTACGAAGTAGAACGCCCCTTTAAGTAGGGAGATTGTGCTATCTACGCTCACCCAACTTTTACGTTTTTCAGGCAACGCCACAACGTCGTCAGCTGATTTGGATCCAAGTCTTTGTGAATCAGGAGGGGGTAGCTTTTTGGGGATGCCCTACATTTGCAAGCAGGGAAACCATATATATATATATACATACCCTCCCAGCCACGAACGTGGAACCTCAGGTCCTGGTTTGGACCGTTTTGTGTTAAGCGGGCCCTTTGCCTGGTTTCATGATGCAACGTGAAGAGGGTTTTCTATGGGGTTGAGAGTGGGTCTACTTGCAGCTGAGCACCCAGCGGTATCTTGTGGAACGGGGGATTTCTTTTCTGGAGCCTGAGGTAGGTGCTGAGTATGCCTAAAGGCAAGCGCAGGTTCGGCTTCTGGAGGCGTGGAGGTCATACTGTGGATGGTTGCGAAATCCATGCAACGCACCACCCAAGAAACCCAAGTTGGAATGATTCGATTCCCCAACGTAAATACCAACAAACAATGGTTTCAACCATGGTTTCCAAGTGGTGCGAAATGGATTTCGCAACCATCCACAGTATGAACCTTATATTTGCACACCTGGAAACAAACTTGGGCAAGGAACCCACAGAAGGGTCAGAACATGGTTTGCTTGCAGCCAGGTTGACCAGCCACTTGCGTTCAGCAAATCCATCGCCTCCTTTTGCAAAGCATCCGCTCTATGAGAAGCCTTGGTCCTGTCAATAGGTCTGCCTAGGTGGCAAGCCCCCTGAGCGAAAATCAATAGGCCCTTTCATTGGGGTGTCTTTCAGGTTTTGGCACCAAACTTGCAGATGGCCTCATTGGAGGGTTCCATGGTTGTTGTTGGGAAACATTGTACATTTTTGCTTATTGTGGTGTAGTGGGAAATCCCCACTGAACTGCAAAAAAATAATTGTTGTTGCTCCCTTTTCAACGTCAACCAAGGTTCCGCGCACGAAACCATGAATCTAGGGGTACCTCCCCCATTCTTTCCAGGGATCCTTCTTTCTGGAAAACCTCCACCCTGGAAAAACGGATCCGGTTTTCGAAAAGAAGGATGGGTGAAAAGAATGGAAAAGGAATCAACCCCTGGAAGTAGGGTGAAAATCTGGCTTGTAACCTTTCGGGCACCCGTCTCTCTCTTTTTGCCGGATAAATCTGTGTAAGCAGGACAGAAGTATCCTGGTCCTCCATTTGCTTAAGAGTTGTTTTTCTTCTTGTTGGGTTCAAAAGGAGGTCATCGCTACTGGAAATGTTATTTTTCCCCTGGGGCCTTAACCAAATGGAAGTTGTGCTGCGAAATGGTAAAGGGAACTCGGGTTACGTACTTGGCTTCAAAATCGACTTCTTCTTTGTGAGCAATGCTTGCTTCGTCTTGAAACAGGGAAAGGCGAGACTCTGATGAAAACCAGTCGGGCGTCATCCAAAGCCACTGACATTTGCTGGGGAGCCAGGAACCATCCCAAACATAGCACTGCTGACATGGCTTTGTCTCAAAGAACCATAAGGCTCAGTTTCCGGGTTTCCTGAAGCCAGCCCTAAAAGGCTACCCTAACAAAAAAAGAAGGAAGAAAGAAAATCACGTGTCCGGGGCCGTTTACAAACTTGCAAATTCGAAGGGAACCCTTGAAATCAAGTCTTCGTGGAACTCTTTGACGGTCCCAGCCCTCGCGACATTCGCGTCGGCCACATCCTCATCTGCAGGCATCGCGAGGGCAAGGGAATCCCTGAAGTCTCTGCGGAGCGGGTCCTGGACGTTTTCTCGGAGAACGGAACTGCATCCTTGGCGCCTCGGATCCCAGAAGACTCTGTGACTCCTCTCCGACTTTTGAAGTTGAGAGGTGAGAATGCATAACCCCGCTGTGTTTTGTGGGCTGTGGGATTTTTATTTTATTTTTTTCCTTCTTGTTGGTTTTGTGTGTGTGTGTGTGTGTGTTTGCTTGTTTGTTTGTTTGGTTCCTGGGCCCCCCAAACTACCCTTAAAGATTGGTCATCGCATGGGGAGATCTCCAGCTTTCGAGACAGACTTCTGTGTGTCCAGGTTCCTTTGGGCCAACAGCTCTGGCCGTAGGAGCGCTGAGTTCGGCTCGCGTCAGGAGTCCATCGAGGCGAAGGAGCCGCCCCCCGCGCACGGCATCAACATGTCCGAGTTCTTTTCCGCGGCTCGGTCTCAGTTTTCGATGGGTTTGTCAAGATGGAGAAGCCTCAATACATGGGTTGCAATCATGTGTGGTTCCTTGGGGTTACTTTTGGCATTTGTTGGTTCTGTTTGTTTTCGACTTCTTTAATCAGATTCCGAATTTGTACCCAAATTTGCAATCATTGATGGAACCTAAAAAGCCAAGGAATAGCCTCTAAACATAAATAGAGGTGGGTGGGTTGCCCTATCCAGACGGATCCTGACTTCAGTTAACCCTTAGTAAGCGGCTCCGAGTCTGTGATTTGCATTTGGATTTGACCCCTGGTTCTTGTACGCAAAGGGGCAGCATCGTCATACCCGCAAAAACAATGATTATAAGTCTTCGAAGTGGGCTATAACCCTGGTTACCATCCACTGAAGTACCCCATCGCTCCTTTCGGCCGGCCAAATGGGAGACCTCACCTCACCTCACCGCTTGGGCTCTCCTTCCGAGGGTAGCTCAGGGCGGGCGCCAGTGACGCGAAAACCCATGGCTTTCGTTTCGCACCACCGAACCGACCCCCCCCCCGCCCGCTTTCCGGTTCCTTTGCAAAGGTTGGAACATGTGGAAAAATGGCTTGTGTGAGAAATGCTGACCAGAGTTTCTGGGAGTTCTTGAAGTCAGAAACAGGGGGGGGGGTTAGAAGGGGTCGCTTGAACCCACCACTGAAGGTGTGACTGAGATAGCGGTAAAATAAGGGGGCTAGTCAGAAACTCAACGGTTTCTGAGGATTCGATTCCCTGCAAGTATCAACAAACGTGTAAATATCAACAAGCGTGTAAAAATCAACAAACGCAATGGTTTCAACCATGGTTTCAAAGTGGTGCGCACGGCAGTTTGTTTCCTCTAGGCTGGCTTCAAAGATGACCATATGCGGCTTCCATAAACTTAACGCGAGTGTCAACTTTTGGTGGCAGGTTTATGTGAAATTCAACTATTTTCTGGAGGGGGTTCCGCACCCTCAAAATCAAGTACCCAGTGCCCCCCCTTTTTCTCATGGTCTCCGGGGGGCTTGGGAGGCAGCGATCTTATTGAAAAGAATCCTCTAGTGGATGGTCTTGTTTCTTGCATTTGGAATCCAATCGGACAGGCCCTTTCTGGGGTCTCCTCCCATCTTGAACATCTCATATTTATAGGTTTTTGTAGGTTCCTTAGGTTGACCAACTATATATCAGAGCCTGAAGATGTTGCGCGGTCCGGAGGTGTGGGAGGCCAAGGTTGCCTTTTCGGCTCCATGTGGCCTTGGGAGTTGGGCTTCAGAATTCCTTTGGGGAAGACTTCCTTGGCTCGGTGCCGGAGTTTTTGGACGGTCGCCGCTTTTTGGGAAGAGACCTTTGGTGGCACGCAAGAAGCTTGTTATTATTTTTTTGGGACCATCGACTCAGGAAGTGAGTTGGCCAAGAAAGAGTCCCGACATGTCTCGACCAATCCACTCAGGGTAGTGATGTCGCATTTTACTTGCCGTTTTGCTCAGTAGGGAATCACCAAAGGCTTTGGTGGAAGTGATCGGGGTCATTCCCTTATCTCCCTGGAATCGAAAGACGGGGCTGGGTTTCCTTTTGCTTGCCCTTAGGTGAGCCACCATCAAAACCCGGGTATATATAGATGAAGGTTAGTCAGGGACAATCCCAACCGTAAATAGCTATATCCGCCTTCAGAATTCTTCACATCCCAGAACGGCCATTTTACTGCCGGGTTTTGATTATGACTCACCTCCAGGTTCCAACCACCAATATAACAATGGGGTTCATTTTCTCCACCATTCTTCACCTAAGGATGGTCATAATCCCAAAAAATGGCTCAGGTGACCTTAGCAGTTCCCAAGACACAAACCACCCTGGGGCCATCCATTCCCTAAGTCACGAGCCTCACAAAACAGCCACAAGCCGGCAGTCTCTTAAAGCAAGGTACAAGTGGGGTCAGCCCCCAACTTATTCTGGGTCGAAATTCAGCTAGGGTTACGGTATCAAGGTCTTTGTTTCCATGGCGGCCATACAATTTGTTGGATTCCATGTGAAAAGCTCCAATGGCTCCAATGGCTCCAATTTTCAACATGTTGAAATTCCATGGCAGCCATTTCCTTTGCTCCGATTTTCCGGACTCCTTGAGAGCTCTCGGATCGGGTTGTTAGGAGACCGCCTCCGACTGGACCCGGCGCATGCAGCGGCTCAGCCGCTACAAGCGCTGGCAGCTGTGGCTGCAGTCCAACGAGCCACGCGGCGGATCGGAGATCCTAACGGAACGGGGTGCCCGGAGCGAGATCTCCCAGGGATCGCGCGACAAGGTTTTTTTTTCTTCTTCCTTATATATATATATATGATTGGTGTTATTATGATTATATGTTTTTAGTATTATTATTATTACTAATATTATTATTGTTATTACTATTATTATGATTATTATTATTATTATTATTATTATTATTATTATTTTTGTTATTATTATTGTGATTATTGTTATTGTTATTATTATTAATAATAATTATTATCATTATTTGGTCTCCTCCAGGGGCGCTTTTTTCTCGGTCTGCTTTTGGAGGCGCGCACAAAGGTCGGGTTGGTGTAAAGGGAGACCAAAGAGAAAACCAGACGTTTGGTTCTCCCTTCTCTTATAACACACCCTTCTGAAAAGTAGTCTGTCTCAAAACAGTGGATCCTTCTTCGGATGGTTTTGAAGGGACACCAAAAGGAGACTGCCAAAACGCTCCCTTCTACATGTTTGCCCTTCACGAAAAAGAACATATTGAGTGCCTAGGGTCGAATGCTGATGAAGTAAATTTCCCTCCCACCAATTCACATGGAACCTGCCAGGGGGTCCCTTTTAAAGGACAATTGTCTTCCGGGACCCCCCCTAACAGGTTCCATGCCAGTTGGTGGGAGGGCAAAAAATGTTTTTAGGGTACCCGGTGCGGCTCGTAAGGATTCGTCTCGGAGTTTCAGTGGCAATGTTAGTCAACTTAAAGTGGACACATTCTAGCTGCCAGTTTGGTTGCAGTGTCCGTCAACTGTCAACTGGCTGTGGTTGTCAAAACCGTTTTGGGACCCCCATTTTGGTTGGTAGGTGAATTCACCACCCATTTTAGAACCTATTTTAGTGGATATTGGGATGTTCACTGGGGGCTAACCGGGGTTTTTACCCATGGCCAACTGTGATTCTGTGGGGAAGTCACGGGAGGATTTATAGTGAAGAGCCCTTGCCTACGCCCGATCAAGCAAAGGCCCCGAAATCAGGTCCGTGAAGTCGAGCCAACGCGGATGCTGCAGATGTTTTGCTGTTCCTTCCTTCGAGCCACTGGGAAGTTGGGAGGTTCTGGTCGGAATCCATGTGACCCTTGAGGTTTCTTAGTTTAGCCATGCCAAGTTGCCAAAAGAGGCCGTGAATGGATCCTGGTGACTCTGCCAGCTACGTGATTGCACCAAGGGCGAAATTTGAGGCGTGAAATCAAGGGCGACCAAAACGCCCTGGAAATGCGCATGGGTCCTTAGGCTTTGGCCGGCGCTGTTGCCGGCAGAAAAACCGCAGGAAGCAGGTCAGAAGATTATGGGTTCATTGGTGAGAGCGCATGTACCCTGGGAGGGGGGACATGTCGTGGGAAAGTTCCATGTGATACCTTGCAGGAAACGTGCATGAAATGACTAGTAAATCATTGGAAGGCAGTTCCGATTGCGTTGCAACAGTGTCGGCTCAAGTGTTATCAGTTCAAAACCACAAAGAGCTTGCCCTTTTGCTGTATGTCCACGCCTTTGGACTCTCCCTGAGACCAAATATGAAACGGAAGGTACCCCAAGTGGGGGCTTGGAAGTAGACTTGACATTCCCCTCTCTCAGCCCGAGTGGCTTAACCCACAAGTTGTTTCTTTGGGATATCCATGCCTTTCATTTGCTGAAGTGACTATGTGTTCTCCCCCGGTTGGTGTTGCAAGAAAGCCGTCACCACTGGAAATATGTGCTTCTTTTGTTTCTTTCTCGCGGCGGACTTGAGCAAATGGCGGCATGGTTTCATGTGCACTATGGTCAACAACAACCGGTTACTGGTCTCATACGGATTTGTGTTTTTGTTGAGGCTCGGACCCCTTTTTCGTCGACACAAAAGGGACATCACCCATTTTGGAGGTTCCCGTATTTGGAGACACAGCCATCTGGTCACAGCAGACCGGTGTCTTTCTGCCTGGAAGGGATCGGACCCTTGAGGGATTTTTCCAAGGCGCAGGTTTCCTGTCAAGGGACAAATCCTGCAGGTGCTAGGTGGAGTCTGCCCGGCTTTCATGCGTTGCTTTGCTCCCGAGGTGGATTTTGGCCATCGGAGGCTATGACCGTGGCCCACAGTTTAGTTTTGATCATGGCAACAAACATATGGCCGTGGGTCAACACCAATGGTACCATTTTTGGGTAGGTGCACCACCCATTTTAGAACCTATTTTAGTGGGGATTGGGATGTTCACTGGGGGTACGGGGTTTTGACCCAGAGCTATATTCATATATGTCCATATGGAGGCAGCTGTAGTTTTTTTATCCTAGCCCCCCTTTCGGCTTCACCACAAAAAGGTGTGGTGTATGTCTACGCGCAAACCAAGGCAAAGTTGGACGCCCTGAAATTTACCGGACCCCGAGGTTGTGGTGATGCGTAGGGGTTCCATATATTTTCCACTTGCGCCAGTTCTAGTGATACTTTGTGAAGAACTCGTGGCGTATCCTCTTGACTGACAGGGGAATGTAGGGAGCCGGGGAGTGAAGCACCCATAGACCAAATCCAATGAACCTGTGGATGGTTGCGAAATCCGTTCGCTCCACTGTGAAACCATGGTTGACACCATAAGGTTTCTTGGTATTTACGTTGGGGAATCGAATCATGCCAGGGTTTGAGTGGTGCAAATTCGAACCACCCAAGAAACCCTAGAATGATGATTCCCCAACGTAAATACCAACAACTTATGGTTTCAACCGTGGTTTCACAGTGGAGCGACCGGATTTCGATTTCAACCATCCACAGTATGACAACTTGACAAACCAAGGCGCGTTCTGGGATCGGATTCCAATGGAGAGCCAGCCGAGGTTTGAGATGATGATCAGTGCAGCGCTTTGCCGCCTGGAGCCAATGCTTCGGAAAGCCCAACACACAGACTTCCGAGAGGTTGTGGAGTGAGCAAAGTGCGTTTGCTTCCACTTGGTTAAGAATATTTTGTTCATTTTCCGCTGTGGGTTTTAAAGGTAATCGATTTCACTACTTCATTTTTTTCCGGGGGCTTAAGCAAGTGGAAGTTTGGGTAGACCAAAAAGGCAAAGTGGGCTGGGGTGCATTCGATTTCTTGGGATCAAGTTTCTACGTATCATACATTGGGAGCAACCCTGATGAATGTTTTTTTGTTCCAGAGGAAACCACCAGACATAGGCCCAAACTAAATCGGTTTGCGAGCGATTTGTTTGACCGGATCAAGATTCTGTTCACACAAAAAAAGTTGTTTGCGGGATTGGCGACTCATACTTCCTAGGTCCTTAGCTAAGGAGGTATTCTACCACTAAATGCCTAAGCACGAATGGCTGCTCAAAAAACCGGAATTCCAAAATGGGTTGCCCTGTGGAAACATGGACCAAAACTTGCGGTTTGCCCCTCCTGTTCAATTTTGAGCCACACCCAAATGGAGCTTGTTTTTTCCAGCACGGGGTATGCGCCATTTCGGCTGACTCCTAGCGATATGTGGGGTTAATGAAAACGTGACACCTCGGCCGTCAAGGACCATCTTAGGCTCCTTCCGGTGGGTTCCACGGGTATTCCCGCTTTCACCCGGACCTTGGCTACAGGCGTTGCAAAATGCGAATGCGAGACTTGACGTCCACTTCGGGAAACCGAAAGGAGGCTGTTTGAACAGTTCAACCACTCTGTGCAAGTATTGACGCTTGGGACCTGTAAGTCGAGACCTCTTATTTCCCGGTGCCCTTTGGGGAAGCTGAAAAACCGCTTTCCGGATGTCCAATTGCCCAACGTTTTCTTGCTCCAAATTCAAGCTGTTTGTTTCACCGCCAACCCTGGGACGACTTTCAAGGGTGCAAGGTGTTTCACCAGAGCAAATTTCATGGAGTTGGAGACATAGGGAAGCATCGGATATCACTGGAGATGTTTCCACATCGTGATTTCCTTTTCGAACCCGCAAGTGACAACTGTCCAAACTCATGGTCAGTGGGACATTGGCGATTGGATCAAATTATATCGATGGCCTTTGTCGGGGGCCATGATTCCTGAATGCCAGCAAATTCTTGACTTCAGTTTGCGAATAGAACAAACTGCCCACCCAAGCCTAAGAGGGGTTGACAAGGATCCTTCCGTTCCCGGCGTTGTAGCTTTTTTTGAAGATGCCGTCACGGGGCAATTAATCTTCCAGGTGCCCCGGTGGTGGTTCAAAAGTGGCGGTGGTGCATGGCTGGGCCCAAACTTCCTACTCCAATTACCAACTTGTTCAAAGGTATTTTTGGAAAACCTGGTTTTTCAAGGTAAATACCTCCTTTTTTAGTAGAGGGTCGACATGATATTTGGAGTCGGGGGAAGGTGCCTATTGTCACGGGAATATCAACGAACATTGGAATTGAGGACCCCCCCTCCCTTGGAGAATAGTAGCAGGTGGACCCAAACAGAGAACTGGGCGTTTCCAGAACCAGGTGACCCTAAAGCTAGTTTGTGTCAAACGGTCCCTGTTTATCCCACCCAGCAGTGCTCCGTTTTTGTTGTGGAGGGAACCCCAAATCCAGGGGTCTGGGCATCATTTGGTCTAGAGGTAACTTCCCAGGGATCCTTCTTTCTAAAAGAACGATGGCTGAAAAGCATGGAAATGGAATAGATTATTTGGCTGTGGGTCAAAAATCGATACCCAACATGGAACCTTTCTAAATGGAGACATGGGCTAAAATTTGCGGTCCCCTGGTTTAATTTTGACCCACGCCCATTTGGGGGTCACGTCTTTGGGCCCCACAGCACGAAGGTATCAACGTGCTGTGGATGGCCGTGGAGCTACAAATCCAGGGCTGGATCACCGGGCCGCTCGGTTACCCGGGGGGGGGTTGGTGGGGTGGGGATATCTACGTTTGACTCCCACCTCTTTGAGTGCTTTCCTTGGCGATGCCCAGCCATACAGTGGATGGAGGAAATGCTGCACCACCTAAGAAACCCCGGAATGAGGATTCCCCAACGTAAATTCCAACAAACAATGGTTCAACCATGGTTTCAAACTGTCGTTCATCCACAGCTCAGTTCTGTGAACTTTACATCCGTTTGGTGGGTTGCGGACTAGAAACATTCGGTACCCCCAACCAAAGCGGCCCCTTTGTTGTGGGATTTTCGAGCACCGGGCAACTGAATTTGACCATTTGATGTTGGAACTTGGTGGCTCCCAGCGAATCGTCGAACCCACTAAAAGTTAAAACTAGCAGGGGATATGAACTTGGAGCCCAGAGTCTTGAAATATTGGGACAGGATTCATACATGATTGATTGAATAGGGGCCATAGACGGAATCTAACATTGTCAGGTAGATAAATCCCGGGGCCAACACTCTGGATTTGTATCGGGGACGCCCCCAAGAAGACTTGCTGGTGCGATAGGGAATGAGGGAATGAACCCAGAAATCCCCTTAAAAAGGAAACCACCAGTTGGATGGTTTTCTCGGGGTCATTCCATGTCTCATTCCCTGCCTATCGCAGCAGCAAGTTGAAAACTGGTTGCCTTCCACCCGGAGCGCCTTTCTAAATCGACCTCAATCTAAGGGTGGAAGTACATACCCCTTGTTCATACCCCTTGGCTTCCGTGGTTCCCAGCCCACTTTATAAGGGGTGTCTCTCCCCTTTTGGGGAGAGGATATGGTATGAACAGCAGGCCTTTCGGGTTCATTTGTCCAAGGGTACCCCCCACCCCCCACCCCCCATGTAAAAGGGCTATGTACCTTGGCACTGGACTCAACCCGCAAAGGATCCAAGTTGTTTGTGTTTGAAAAACGGCCGTGGTAGAAAAATGGTGCCGTTATCGCACCCGAAGATCCCAAAGCTTTCCTTCAACCCTCAAATTGAAGTACAGTACATGGCTAAATGTTTAAAGGCCGCACTCATGGCTATGTTTGTTTTTTCAAAAAAATACCAGCTCAAGAGTTGTTGGTGGACACAAATCCACTCCATTCAAATTCATGCCCAGATGTTTGTCTCAGAATCTGGGAGCGCTTCCATCTGAATTCCCCATAAAAATCGCAGGGAGTTATCAGCAGCTCCATCAACACACCACTGGGTTCAAAATAGGGGAGCCTCCCCCAAGTTTGTTTGGTGTTCCTTTAAACCAACCTCATGGGAAACAAACAAACAAACAAACAACCGCCAAACATGCCCATGTAAGTAGACCGTTTGTCACGGAACCATGCGTGGATCGGTCGGAGAGGTATGGACGAGCTCGAAATAAGACAAAATAGGGGGTGTTTGCCCCAAGGTTGACGTAATTTCGAGCGTGGCTCATGTGGATATGGAAGCGATTCAGCCTCGGGCAAAAGTAGCTGAAGCGAGACGTGTCCACTTCTGCATTGGATAATATTCCGAATTTCATGCCTTCGACTTTTGAGGAGTTGACAATTTGGAATTTACAGGTCCGAGGTTTGTTGTTTTGGGGGGGGGGGGGTCGGTTCCCACGGCGATTCATGGAAACCCCGGTTGTTTTTGCACAAGCTGGTTGACTTTTATAGAGGTGTCCCGTACTTGTATAGGGGTCTCATCACTTCACCCCTTTGAAAGGGTGTCCCGATGTGTCCCGGTTGTGGAAAATTCATCACTTTTGGAGGGAGCCCTATAGCAGGCCCAGGGTTAAACCCCCATTGAACGAAAGGCAAGGACCCAATTTGGCTGACAATCCCTAGGGAAACAATGGTGGTTCTATTTCGGCCCCATGGTTTTATTGGTGGTAACTGAATCCCAGGGTAGCATTTGTGGGTGGGTACTTGGAAGATCAATTTCCTCTTTAAGGGATCGTTTGTCAGGTGCAACTGAACCTCATGGGGAGATTGGTTTATTCTGTGGACATGGGGAACTTCCCCGAGCGCCTTCCGTTGGAGCATCGCAACACAGGGTTTCGTTAATAAGCATATTTGGGTGACCTCTTTTTGAGGCACAGGGTTCCCCCTTTCTTTCTTTCTGTTTTTTTGGGGGGGGAAGGGGGGAAACGGGATGGGGAACGAAGCAGCTGTCTGGAGGTCTTTTCGATTTGGGTGTGTCTTTTTTGAGGGTACCTAGAGTCTCCATGACGTACCTAGAGCCTTAAAAAATTGTTGGCCATTACGCAAAATCATGGGGTCATGGACCTATTTCTATTTCGAGTCATGGAGACTCCAGGTACCCCTTCGGGTGTTTTCTTTCGGGAAACTACCAGGAAAACCGAAATCCGTTTTGGGGTCCAAATCCAAGGCCGAGCCGCCCAACTGTTTCTGGCCCGAACTCGTTTCTTTTTGATCTCCGGCGGTTATTCTATTTGCTTAAGGTTTTTTCTTCTCCTGTTTGTTTCAAAAGGAATCGATCACTACGGGAAATATGTCTATTTTTTTTCAGGGGGCTTAAGCAAATGGAAGTGTTTGGTAACGGGAAGCAACGAGCAACTTGCGAACGGGTTGGGCCAAGGCCCTGAGTGTTTAAGCCGCAATCTGTTCTGCCTATTTTATTGCGAGCTCACCGATGTAGGGGTACAAAACGAGCGAGAGCCACGACAAAGAGCCTTTCCTTGGGGATCCCTTAATTCAGCGTCCTGGAATTGTAGTAACTTGCAGATCTGTTGGTTTCCCAACGGTTGGGGTTTAAACCGATGCTATATCTTAGGATAGATATTAAACATGATTCGCAGAATCTGAGAATCACATGTAAGCTGTTTGCCCCCAGAGTTGTTGGTTGTTTAGTTTCAGCCGTCCTTTGGGTTCCCTTTAATGTTGACCCCAGAAATCAACCCCAGTTTATTAGGGGGGGTGTTCCCTCCAAAAGTGACAAGTCCCCACTAAACCCAGAGACACCCCCCCCTCGTAGTAAACTGGGGTTCATAAATCTAGAGTCCCAGAGTGTGCTTGCTGGCGCACAATAGGGAATGTGGGAATGAACCCAGGGATTCCCGAATAAAGGCAGCCACCTTAAAGGTGTCATTCCATCTCTCATTCCTTCCATTTGTTTAAGAATACTTTTGTTTTCCCCTGTTGGTTCTAACAGGAATCGATCACTACAGGACATGTTTTTTTCCAGGGATTATTTTTTTCCAGGGGGTGTTTTTTTTTGTCCGGGGATTATTTTTTTCCCAGGGGGTGTTTTTTTTGTCCAGGGGTTATATTTTTTCCCAGGGGGTATTTTTTTTTGTCCAGGGATTATATTTTTTCCCAGGGGGCGAACGAAAACGGCCAGTGGCAGAAGTTCCCTTCTCGCTCCAGCATGGGTTCCCTTCTCGGAGGCATGACCTGGGAATTACGTATACCATCATCGAAGACACGGACATGTGGGCGCCGTGGCAGTGGAAAGTCGGACGCGGAAAAAGACACACGGCCGGTTTTTTTTCTCCGGCCTTTCCCGGATTGTTTCCCGGCTTTTCCCGGGGCGTTACCCTTGTTTCCCGGATTTTTTACCGTTGTTTACCGGTTTTTTCCGGTTTTCTGCGGAAGCTCAGTGGACATGGGCGGGTCTTTTCATTGCAGGACTTAACTAGCAGTTTCGTTTGTTTGTGCCCTGGGTTGCTGGACTTGTCTAGCTGGCTCGCCTTTTTGATCTGGGTGCTTTTACTTCATTGTCGTTGAAGAGGGGACATTGAAATCTCTTTGTGCAGGGGGTCTACGTCAGGTCAACAATAAATTGAGGCCCCGCAGTTTTTGTTTTGCAGCTGCCCATTCTGAGGAGCTGAACAACACCATTTGTATTGCAACCTATTTAGCATCGTTGCTGTAGAGCTAAAACGGAGTGGTAGAAGCACAGAAGTTCTAGGGGTACCTTCCCCATTCTTTCTAGGGATCCTTCTTTCTAGAGAATCTTCTGAATCCGAGGGAAAACGGAAACGGCTGTTGTTGAAAAGAACGATGGTTGGAAATAAGCCCTAGAGAAGTAGAACATCGGCTTCCGGGATCTCATCTCTTCTTACAGACACATGTAGCCAGTGTTTCACCAACGGCCTTCCCGAAGCAACACGTACTGTGGATGCTGAAATCCGTTCGCACCACTGTGAAACCACGGTTGAAACCATTGTTTGCTGGTACTTACAGGGGAAGCATCATTCCAGATTTTCTTAGGTGGTGCAGGATTTCGTCCATCCACGGTATGTGTTTGAATTGTCCGCAGAAGAAAAGAGGTAGGACAACTGGTTGCTTGTTTGACCCAGCCCAAATATTGAGTAGCAATCAATTAGCATATGGAGAACCGCAATTGTGACCGACCCATTCTGTAAGTTTCTCCACCAAGTGCTAACTCTACCTATTGGTAGGGTATGCTAGTCATTGTTCTTCACTCGTTTTTTGTTGGGGGGCGGGTGCCATTTCTTGGGGTTGGTTCCTTACAGCAAGCCAGAAGCAACAAGGAAAGGGGGGGCGGGGTGCTTCCCTATCTTAAGTTCTCAGGCCCGGGTTAAGTTCTGGAGACCCGCCCAGTACACCGTCTTCCTCACGGGGGACATGATCTTTGCCTTCATCTTCGGCGTGGAGGTCCTGTTGCGGGCCTTGGCGGCTTGGATGGCATGAACCGGGTGGCCCGTTTCGGGATGGAGGCTTCGGAAGCCATTGGAACCAAGAAACCGCCAGAATTGGAACATCTGATTTGTGTGCGGAGTTGGGTCCAGTCCAGAAGACAGAAGAGGAGGTGGTGAAAAAACAGTCGCTAAACATTGATTCCCTCTCTCTCACCCATGCTCTTCACCGAAACCGGAATCTTTTCGGAGTCTTTTCCTTTGAAGAGGATTCCTGTGGGGAAGCTGCAGCCGGTGCAGCCGCTGAGATCCCACTCGCAGGGCTGAGGGCCTCCTTTCCATGGCTCTCCCAAACAAATCTGAGCCCGGCTTGCTCCCTGGCCTTAAAGTGTTTAAGCTAGGGTTGCGGTGGCCATGGGTCAAAATCCCCACTAACCAGTGAACATGCAATGGGTCCCAATCCAACCACTAAAATAGGTTCTAAAATGGGTGGTGAAGTCACCTACCCCAAAATGGGATCCCATTGGTTTTGACCCACAGCCAAGCAACTTCTGAAGGTGTGTCATCGTCCATATAATTTGAACTTCGCCTGCAGTGATGATTGAATTTGACCTATTGGCTCATGGAAAGGGACCAAGCCGTCCACGGGTCCGTCATTTCGCCTCTGGCTAACTGTGGGGGTAGGCCATGGAATTATCAGAGCTGGTGGGCCAAGGTTTTGGAGCCGTTGCTAGCATCCATTTGCTTAAGAATGTGTGTTTTCTTCTTTTTTTTCCCCTGTTGTTTTTTAGAGGGAAAATCTATCACCACTGGCAATATGTTATTTTATTTTTCCAGGGGGCGAGAAAGCAAACGGAAGCTAAACGTGGAACGACCCTGCAGGATTTTTTTGGGCGACTTTTGATGTGTGGACTCCTCGGGTTGTTCATTCTACTTGGGCTTGGCTGCGTTTGACCAACCCCTCCCCCCTCCCCCCGCCATTTGCAGGTTTTGTATGGGGAGACCTTTCCGGCTTGTGACTCCTGTAGAAGGACCCTGGGAATTTAGACCGTTGTAAAGGTTACGAAAGCCTACTCTTGCTGGTCAGAATGAGAAATGGACTGACCCCCCCGGGAAAAAAGACACCCAACTTTTTGTGGTTTCCTTTAAAGGGGACCGTGGGTTCATTCCCACATTCCCTACTGTGCGCCAGCAAGAACACTCTGGGACCCCAGATTCATCAACCCCAGTGTACTACGAGGGGGGTGGGCTCTGGGTGTGGGGATGTCTCACTTTTGGCGGGGAACACCCCCCTCTGAAGTGGTGGGACCCCTATCAAGTGGTTTCCTTTCAAGGAGGCCTGTGGGCTCATTCCATGTCTCATTCCCTATCGCGCCGGCGCGCGCGCTTTGAGATCCTGGGCTGCGCCTTTTGGAAGAGTTGGATGAACTACGTGGATATGATCGTGAGCATCATCTCCATAGCGCCTCGCAAGACGTTGTTCTTTTTTCTTCTTCTTTTTTGTTGGGGCGGGGGGCGTTTTTTTTTTTTTTTTTTTTTTTTTTTTTTTTTTTTTTTTTTTTTTTTTTTTTTTTTTTTTATAAAGTGTTTTCTTCGTCTTCTTTTTTTTTTTGGGGGGGGGGGTTGAGACTGATTCAGGCTTCGGTTTGCTTTTGGTTTCCATTTTAGTGTCGCCACCCTCAAAACAAGACACGCCCCAATGCGGAGCCGGGTGGTTTCCGTGGTTGTGCACATGCGATTAAAATCATTTGTAGCGAGGTCGGGGCTCACTGAGTTGTTTCACTTTTGGCAATCCACTCAGAAGAGACAAAGAGCAAAGTGAGCGACAAGGGTGCCGATGTCTCATCCCTTTGGTGCGAGTGGGACGAAGCCAAGCTTCTCGGGCAGAGAGTCCTGATGCCAGATCAGAACTCGCTGGCTTGTGCCCCAGGAGGGCGCCAAGCTGCACTGGCTCAAACCGGTTAAGAACGTGCTCATGCTTCCAACCCTCCAACCCCCCAACCCCCCACCGCCCAACCCCCCCAACCCCCCATGTTTGCCGGGTTTTCTTGGTTGGTTTCCCTTTGAAATCCCCACCAACCATGGGGTACGAAAACTTAAAAGCAGAAATCGGACGAGGTGGAGCTCTTGGTCTTCATGGACGGCACTCGCTCCGTGAGCCCCTTGCTCTTCCGGCTGCTCCGCATGGGCAAGCTCACCCGCGCCATGCGGGTAGTGTCCATGACATCGGTGCTCGCGTCTCTGCGCCTCGGTCTTGGCGAGGGCAGGGCACCTAGGAAGCCTCCAATGGCTGAACTGATTTGTTGTTTGAGGATTTTCTCTTGTTGGTTGTTAGAGGGAATCGAAATTCACTACTGCAACAAAATGTCCAGCAAGCTTGAGCAAATGGACATGGTCACAATCCACTTAGGATACTTATCACCGCGGCTTTTGTGGGTTATACCCATGGGGATAGTACCCACTTACTACGCACCCTGCCGCTTTAAGCAACCGGTGGTGTGAGTTTCAGGCGGCGCTAGCCAGGGAAGGATGGGTACGTCCGCAGCCAGCTTCCTTTTGGCGGGATACCGTTTGGGAAGTTAGGTTAGATAGGAACCTTCTGGGGTAGATATTTGATTCGTCCTGCCGATCAAATATAAGCACGTCCCTTTGAAATGTTCTTTTCCCCTGTTGGCTTTTTAAGGTTATGCAAAACCTCACGGAGCCCTGAGGAACACGTGGGAGCTCCAGACCTCTCTACTAACCACTTGTACGCGGAAAGGGATTCCAGTGTCGGAAGCCACATTTGGGTTTGTCTCAGAATATTCAAAAACACGCACCCATTTTGGAAAGCGCCCAAAAGCAACCCGCATTTTGGTGACCTCTTCGAGGGGACGAAAAGACACTCTTCGAAGTACCTAAAAACAGTGGGCACTTGCAGGGCTGTGGGATATGGCATCTGGGCACAAGAGCCGTATCTTACTTTACCAAAAACAGAAAAGCCACGCACCCCCTCTAAGAAAGGAACCTTCACTGGTGATGTCGCACCCCCCTTCCGGGAACGTGATGTCACAAGAATTTGCCCAGATTCGGACCCTGTGGATGGACAAAATCTACGCCGATCGCCACCAGGTGAAGTGTTCAACCCGTGTTCAAAGGGTTTCATGCATCATAGCTGCAGGATGCTTTTGTTTTTTTTTTGTTTTCACCCGGAAGCCCATGGGGTCTTTGCTTTTTCAGCGCTTGGGAGTGGCAGCCGTTTTCGAGAAGGGTTCAAAGGGGCTTGGGGACATCACCTGGGCGATCAAAGAGAAGCCACCTGGATTGATCCAGCTGCGATCGCTTTTTTCCTTCCACAAAAATCCGTAAAAAAAACCAGCAGCAGTGACTGAAAAAGGCGATCGCAACTTGGCTATCTAGGGAATCAAAAGGCACAAGAGGGGCAACCATTGCTCCTACCGCAAGAACCCCCTAGTGTAGACACACTGCTGGAATCATAGGCTCGCGAACCCTTCTTACCCACATAGGCGAACCATCTTCTTATTTTTTTGGTGGCCCCCAGCCGTCCCCGGAGCCTTTTAGGCTTTTAGGCTTTTAGGGTTCAGTGGGTGGTTTCCATGTAACCCACCATTTTGTTTTTTTAACCTTTGGATCTGAGGGCAGCCCAGGAGTCAACATGGACTAAAGCCCATGGTCCCCTGTTTGCTTGTGACCTATGACCATATGGGGGTTGCTCAAAAGGTCCAACTTACATGGGATGACCATTGATCGGTCAACCACGAAACAGATTTGATCTGAGGGCAGCCCAGGAGTCTAACACGGACTAAAACCTGTCCCCAACAGATTTGATACTGTGGATGGACAAAATCCTGCACCACCCAAGAAACCCTGGAATGGTTCGATTCTCCTGTAAAAACCAACAAACGTTATGGTTTCAACCATGGTTTCAGTTCGTGGTGCGGTCTCGGATTTCGATTTCAACCATCCACAGCATTTCAATTGGGAAACGACAGGCAGCTGCTGCTGAAGTGCCTGGTGGCCTCCCGGGACATGCTCTTCTGGAGCTTCTGCTTGCTGACCTTCGTGCGGCTCGGCGCGCAAGCGATTTTCAGACAGGGGGGATGGGGTCACTGGGTGGGTCGAGGGAAGTGGGGCAATTGGTCCCCCAGGAATTGGTGCCCGGCCCTTTCTCACCCGTTTCTCTTTTTGGTTGGGAGGATTGGTTCCCCGAACATGGACTGCTGGAAGAAAATGGGAAGCCTTATTCTAACCTCTCTACTGGAGGACCTAGGGTTAGTAAGTGGCGAGTAGCCATGGTTCTGGGGGTACCTCCCATTACCATTCTGAACCCAGGGATCCGAATCTTTCTGGACAACCCAAAGAACGATGGTTGAAAAGAGTGGACAAGGAAACAACCCTCCTAGAATGGTTAGACCCCACTGAACGGAGACTTGTAGTCATGTAAGTGGGCTATAACCATGCTTCCATTTGCTTAAGATCATGTTTTATTTTCCCCTGTTGGTTTTAAAGGAAATCTATCACTACTGGAAACATATTTTATTTTATTTATTTTTTCCCAGGGGACTTAAGCAAAAAAAGACACATGCCCCATGTGTTTGAAGGCAATCCGCAAGATCCCCACCTTAGGGGTAGGTGAGGAGTCTCCCTTTTGCAGCGGAATTTCTCTCTAAGATTGCGTTGTTTTCCCCCCCCTTTTAAAAATATATATATATATATCAATATGTAGATACATATATATATATATATATTTGTATACATATTCAGAAGCCCAGCTTAGGGATGTCACCCAGCTTTTTGGGTTTGCCACCAAATCGTGTCACACGCTTTGGCTGAGTGTGACCCAGGATTCCCCCCCCCCCCCGAGCTTTTTGGAAAGAAGCGGATCCGTTTCCCACCTTTCGCCCCGCCACAGGTCGCTTTCTCGGATCCGTCAAGCTCGATAAGTTCGTTGGCGGAAGCGGTTTTCGGAACCCCCAAAAAGGTTCGCCAGGGCGAGCCCTGGGGCGTGAGGTCTTTGTGAACCGAAGAGTTTCTCCTGAAGAACACTTTGGCCTTTTCTTGTTGGCCTATTTGTTTAATACACCGTGGTTTCCATCTCTTGTGGGTCTTGTCTTAACTGTTTGTTTGCCCTTTGTGGTCTACTTTGTATGATTCTACCAGAATAAGGAACGCCACAGGTCAACATGAAAACCATACTGTGGATGGACAACATCCTGCACCAGTTGTGTTTGTTTCCCAGTATTCGGAAGGTTTAACTTTCATCCCAACTCCAGGTGTTGTTTTTTCTCCCCGTGCACCGCATGTCGCCATGGTTTCTCATGGCACCTTAGGCAGTGCATCGCTGGCATGCCCCTCGGCTTTTTTCAGGCCTTGCGATCCGAACCCGCCAGGCGAAATCTCGGCGGCGTTTGCTTGTTTTTCTTTTCTTTTTTGGAGAGGTGTCCCTTGAACCTCAACTGAGCCACTTGCTCAAAACCCAGGAATTGGTGAAGGTTAGGGGCAGTCCCAGCCGGAAATCGCTGCGGATATCTGCCTTCCTATTTCGTTCACCATTCTAGTACCGGGTTTTGATTGTGGCTCAACTAATGAATGAACCAAATGAGTAAACCCCTGGTCGATTAGAGGCATGTTTTCTGTTGAGGCTTCACTTAGGAGACGCGTCCCCGTAAGTTGGACGGATTCATTTGGTAAGACGAGTGCAGACTGTGTTCTTCCACCGCCACTGGGGGCATCTGGTTCCTCAGACTTTTAGACTTGTAGCATGATGGATTTGTGACATAGGAAAGTTGATGTCACTTTTAGCAAGGCGCTCATGAACCCCGAAGGTCCAGGCTCCATCCCTGCCTTATCTGCAGGGGCGGGGCCTGTTGGGCTGTCCAAGCAATACAAGGTTCTCGATGCTGTCCCTGAAAGGGTGGTTGACACATCTTGTTGGGCCAGTAGCTTTTTTTGGGGTGAACATGCCAAAGACTGTGAAAGAGCAATGCGGGTGAGCTCCTGACTGGAAACACATACAAACATCCTTGGCGCTTGCAGCATTGCAGGCCCGTTTTGGGAGACAAGCCTGAGGTGAATCGGCGGGATCCCATCTTTTTGTGCGGTTTTTGGGTATCGGTATGTCTCTAGTTGCTTCTTCTGTGCTTGAAGTTGATCAACTCACCTTTTTACTGCCTTTTGCGTGCGCCAGGCTTGCGCACAAGGTGATGTTTGAACCACTCAAGAAGGGGACCAGCGCAACAACCTAGGGTTGTCTCCCTTCGGTTTTCAAGTTGAAAGGGACGCCCAACAAGTGTCAGAATCCGCTGAAACGTAGCTGCATGCAATGGATCCAGAGATTCTTTAGTGGTGAAGCCCGTTTTTTCGGGGGGGTGGGGGAAGTCAAAGGAACACCAAAATGCCCCCGCCCAGTTTGTCCCATATTTGTCAATTTGTGTCATAGAATCCGCATGAGCTTCCCTTTAGCTTCCAGCGGAGCAAGACAGACTCGGAGCCCGAGAAAAACCAGCAAACCAAGCTGAAACAAAGTCCCCCCGATTCTCAAAACTGGGACGGGCTCCCCTGTCCACCGGCTTAGTACTCCTGGGCACGTTAGGCTGATGTTCAAACAAGCCGGAATGTTTGACACATGATCAGACCATTGAGAGGGTGGACACCGGCAAACCGGGCATCTTACTGCACCACCTAAGAACTGGAATGATGACTTCCCTGTAAATACCAAGCCTGATTTCAACCATGCCTAGATAGCCAAGTTGCTGCTTTTTTCAGTCACTGTTGCTGGTTTTTGGTAAGTTCATGGAAAAGAGCAGCAACCGGCGATTTCGGTGTTTTCATTTCGTGGTGCGGTCTCGGATTTCGATTTCAACAATCCATAGTATGTAAACAGGATGTAAAAGGCACCATTCTGATCAACCGAAAAGGAAGAAACATCGAAGGGCCGGCAACTCCTAGCCGACACGGTGGACAGTCCTAAGGACCCGTGGGATTTTCCATGGCGCAAAATGTTCGCACACGATTAAAGGGCCTCAGAAAGGAGAAAAGGAAGCAACCCACTGGACGCTTGGATCCCCACTTACTTCCATGTTGGAAAGAGGGTGTTTGGGTTGGGGGGGTCCGTTTTACCCGTCATGTTTTTTTTCTTCTTCTTTTGGTCTCCGTTTAAAGTACCAAAATTGGGTTCTGGGACTTCAACCCATAATGGGAAGCCTGGATGAATGAATGGGGCCCTATTCATTACGGGGCCCGGTGTCCCTTGATTTCGTCGCACCTTTGGAGGGGAGCGCCCCTCTCTTTTCTCTGAGGGCTTTTATCAATGTTCCGGGGCCAAGGGTTTACCTGGAGTCTCCTTCCGACCCTTTCAAAATCGGTCCATGACCCCATTTTTAAAGGGTATTGACCAACCATTTTTAAAGGGTCGGAAGGAGACTCCAGGTACTGGATTTTCAGCTTGGCCGGGCCTCAGTCCCTCTGAGCTTCAGCAATCAGTTTGGACTTTTTTTTTCTTTGCGCCGAATGGCAATTCAGTGGCCCCATCGATGGCACGCCCATCTTTTTTTTAAAAAAATAAATAAATAATAATAATAATAGAAAGCCCCCCAAGTTTGACGGTGGTCACTTGTGGCTTCCCCTTAAAGCCACCAATTCCAGAGGTACCCAAGAGCAGACAGACCGAGCCCTGGCAAACTATGCGATGGGAAGCTTCCCGTGGCTTAGCCTCGGCAGACGAGACCCTTTACAACCATGGGAAAGTTGGGAATCCAAGCAGGCGGTTTCAACCATCTGGCATTGCACCGGAGGCATTTTTGTGTTGATCCGTGGCGAAATCCATTTAAAAAAGCACAAAATGAAACCATGGCTGAAGCCACGTTTGTTGGGTATTTACGTTGGGGAATCGAATCATTCCGTTTGGTTCTTGTGGCGCGAACTGGATTTCGTCCACACCTGGATCGCCAGTTGCGATCGCTTTTTTCCATCCACTTTACCCAAAACCAGCAACAGTGACTGAAAAACGTGGCAACTTGGCTATCTAGGCAGTAGGACTGCCCGAAACGCTGAGGATCCTCACCACGCTGTGCTGGGACTTTGTGCGGGACACCGCAGAAGATGCCAAGATCCGGGAGGAGGTGTTCCGCTACTACGGCGCTTCGGCGAGCGACAAGCAACAAGAATCAGAGGTCCGGATGTATCAAAAGCAAACCACCACCTAGAGTCTCCTTCCGACCCTTTAGAAAATGGGGTCAGTACCCTACATAATGGGGTCATGGACCTTTTTTTTAGGGGCTCATGGGGACTCCAGGCAGGAATTGGACCGCAGGTTTCAGTCCGCAGGTTTCCGTCTACCAGGGCGACGAGAAAAGATATGGAACAAAACTGTGGACGAAATCCTGCACCATTTGGAAACCACGGGAAAGCATTGTTGGAGTTTGGAATTAACTTTGATATATTTTCCAAACACCTGGGGCATACTGTGGATGGTTGAAATCGAAATCCATTTCGCACCACGAACTGAAACCATGGTTGAAACCATTATTTTTGGTATTTACAGGCGAATCATCATTCCAGGGTTTCTTAGGTGGTGCAGGCCTGCACAGTAGCAACCCAATGGACTAACCAATCGTAAAATTCAATCTGAAGAGGTCAAAGGGCCCCTTGAGAGGCCCAAACATAGGTGCTCCTGTGAGCTGCTGAGTAATCATTCGTCCGTTTTGGCGTGTGTAGCCGCGGGCCCTGGGTTTGTGGGCGCAAGGCTTGAGGGCAGAGTGAGTGCATTTGGGCCCCACATGTTTTTGTGGGAATTGTTCATCAGACAATCTCAGAAAAATGTGTATACATATATATATATATACATATATATATATATATATGTATGTTGTTAAAGGAAGGAACTTCCGTACGCAACTAATTGCTCTCTCTCCCTCTCTCTCGCTCTCTCTCTCTCTCTGATCTCTCATGAGAATGCATGCGCTTGTGTCTGATCTGAAATCTCCGAAAAAGCTAGAAGACACGAGGACTGGGGAGTAGACGCGGGCCGAAAACGTGGTGCATTTTTGCATGTGCGCACATCACCTCGGTCGCATGCGCAAACCACCTCGGTCGCGACGTCTGTACGGAGGGGGTCTTGTAGCGATCTGTGGGTCGTCTGAAACGGCGCGACAGCGCGCTCCGCGCTTTGCGCTGAGGACTTTTAGCGGGTCGACCTTCAAAAACTCTTGTCTTTCGCGCTTTCCACTTCGCTTATGCGGCCTTCTGCGAACTTTTCATGTAGCTATCGACCAGTCGACCAAAAGATCTCGTAGTGCTCTTTTCAGCGGCGTAAGCATGAGGTTGGTGAGGCCTTTGCAGACTGACGTGAGGACTGGGGAATACAAGTGGACGGAAACCCTCTGCACATGTGGGCGAACCACCTCGGTCGCGGAGGCGGTCTTGGAGCGGGCTTGGAACGCGTTCGGAAAAGGCCCCTCTCTCTCTCTCTCTCTCTCTCTCTGTCTCTCTCTCTCTCTTTCTCCCTCCCTCCCTCTCTGTCTCTCTCTGTCTGTCTGTCTGTCTGTCTGTCTGTCTGTCTGTCTGTCTGTCTGTCTGTCTGTCTGTCTGTCTGTCTGTCTGTCTGTCTGTCTGTCTGTCTGTCTGTCTGTCTGTCTGTCTGTCTGTCTGTCTGTCTGTCTGTCTGTCTGTCTGTCTGTCTGTCTGTCTGTCTGTCTGTCTGTCTGTCTGTCTGTCTGTCTGTCTGTCTGTCTGTCTGTCTGTCTGTCTGTCTGTCTGTCTGTCTGTCTGTCTGTCTGTCTGTCTGTCTGTCTGTCTGTCTGTCTGTCTGTCTGTCTGTCTGTCTGTCTGTCTGTCTGTCTGTCTGTCTGTCTGTCTGTCTGTCTGTCTGTCTGTCTGTCTGTCTGTCTGTCTTTCTCGCTTTCTCGCTTGCTCGCTTTCTCTAGGACCCCAGGAAAGAGTAAAACCCAAAAACCAACAGGGTCGACCCAGCGAAAGCCCGCAGGGGGTTCACCGAATGGTTGCGTTCGCTGAAAATGTAAACCAAAACGCGGGTTTACCCATCGAAAGAAGAAGATGAAGATGAAGAGAAAGCAAGAAGAGAAAGACGAAGACACCGAGAAAGAGAAAGACGTGGAGAAAGAGACGGAGAAGGAAGAAGAAAAATAAGAAGAAGAAGAAGAAGAAGAAGAAGAAGAAGAGGAAGAAGACGAAGAAGAGCGAGAGAAAAGTGGCAGAGAGGGAGAGAGGGAACCCACATGAGGCGCCCTCCAAACGATTCTTCTTCTATGTTTAAATCTTATCTTCCGCCCCCGGCTCTGCCGGTCATTAACACTATTTGGACACTATCCTAAGCCCCCCAAACTTGAGCTTGTCAGAAATGGCGTCAATGTAAACATTGACGGTTGATGCCTGGAGACCAAAGAGTCCAGCAAAATTCATTCCATACGTTTTGTTAGTTTGTTTGTTTCTTGGTTTCGCTTGGCTGCATAAACACAAGTTTTCATATTTTGGGTCCAAACGGGCTTAAACCCCCGGACAAACCCCCGGACAACCCTTCGGACAGCTTTGACAGCCTAAAAACCCGGGACACGCCGGACAAGTCTTCGGACAGGTTTGCAACACGCCAAAACCACTCGGAAACCACTCGGAAACCACTCGGAAACCGCTCGGAAACCACTCGGAAACCACTCGGAACCGCTCAAAACCACTCGGAAACCACTCGGAGAAAAGTATTCTCGCGGGAGGGGGGGTTTGCAGCATAAATCTCGGCCAAGTGCGCGGACAACCCTCCGAACAACCCTCCGGACAACCTTCCGGACAACCCCCCCGGACAACTTGCCGGACAGCTGTTTGTCCAGCAGGTTGTCCCGCACTTTGTCCCGCACTTTGTCCCACACGTTTATGCAGAAGGGCATTCGTCAATTTATCCCTGTTACTTGTTGGATAGTTCGAAGGGAAGCCACCGGGAAAACAAGCTCCTGCTGGAGGGGTCCCTCGAAGTAACAGTTCTGCGTCGATGGGTTGGCAGCGTCAGTGGAGAGGGCGAATCCAGAAGGAAACCAGCAAGTGTCTTGACTGCTACTGGGTTGGATCTTTAGACTTTAACTTGTTGGGAAATCAAGGGGTTTTCCACTAAACCCCCAACAAGGTGAACTTTTTGCAGGCAGGTCAACAGCAAGCAAGTTGTGGGGGGCCGCTATTGTGAGAAACCTTTAGTTGCTTGTAGGCAGCGGTGACGAGGGCAGCGAGTTGCAAGCATGCAATTAGCCATGTGGCTTTGCCACTAGTGCTGAAGACCCTGTATTCGATCGATCGCGCTTGCTTGCTTGTCTGCTTGCTGGTGATATGTTTATGGAAAATCTAGCTTTTGTGCGGCTCTCCCCTGCTTCCCGAAGCGCACAGAAGGCTTTCCCAACACAAAATGCTTTGCACATGCTTTAGAGCATGATTGCTAGCCTTTCTCCTGTGTAGAGACGCTTGTAGCCAGAGTATCTGCAGGGCATGTGTACATGTGTTGCTGGGGGACTGGCCCAACCTTGCTTTTTCTTTCAGCACAAGTCTTGCCAAAGAGCGTCGTTGTGACTGCCGCCTGAGGCACCTTCACAAGGACATTCCTCTCCATGTTTGAGATAATGTTTGCAAATTGGAGCCCACCCTGTCGGGTCTTGGTGGAGAATGTGAGCGAGTGGTTCTCCATCTTCTTCCTGACCTACAGGCCACGCCCATTTGCGGGGCCGAAGGTTGATTGATTGTTGGTGCTCAGTTCTGCGCGCTTGTCTCCGCGTACGGTGTGTGTTTGTGTGCGCGGGTGCGTGCGTGTGCGCACGTGTGCTCGCGTGCGTGAGTGCGTGCGTGCGCGCGAGAGAGAGAGAGAGAGAGAGAGAGAGAGAGAGAGAGAGAGAGAGAGAGAGAGAGAGAGAGAGAGAGAGAGAGAGAGAGAGAGAGAGAGAGAGAGAGAGAGAGAGAGAGAGAGAGAGAGAGAGAGAGAGAGAGAGAGAGAGAGAGAGAGAGAGAGAGAGAGAGAGAGAGAGAGAGAGAGAGAGAGAGAGAGAGAGAGAGAGAGAGGGAGAGAGACAGACAGGACAGGTGGGCAGAGAGAGACAGAGAGACAGACAGACAGACAGACAGACAGACAGACAGACAGACAGACAGACAGACAGACAGACAGACAGACAGACAGACAGACAGAGACAGACAGACAGACAGACAGACAGACAGACAGACAGACAGACAGACAGACAGACAGACAGACAGACAGACAGACAGACAGACAGACAGACAGACAGACAGACAGACAGACAGACAGACAGACAGACAGACAGACAGACAGACAGACAGACAGACAGACAGACAGACAGACAGACAGACAGACAGACAGACAGACAGACAGACAGACAGACAGACAGACAGACAGACAGACAGACAGACAGACAGACAGACAGACAGACAGACAGACAGACAGAGAGACAGAGAGACAGAGAGACAGAGAGACAGAGAGACAGAGAGACAGAGAGACACAAAGCACGTGTGTGTGTGTGTGTGTGTGTGTGTGAGTGAGTGTGAGTGTGTGTGTGTGTCTGTGTGTGTATATGGGTGCGTGTGCGTGTGTGCACGTGTGTACGTGTGTGCGTGTGTGCGCGTGTGTGTGTGTGTGTGCGCGAGAGATTGAGATTGCGTGTGTGTTTGTGCCGAGCCTCTGATATTCCCAGGCGCCAAGCGAAGACTGACGCTTGCGCCATCGGTGTTGGCGTTGGTACTGGGACTGACCACCCCAACGTACCTGCAGATGCCCCTGCGTTGCTGGTTCGCTGGAAGGCTGCGGCGTGCTTCGATCCTGCTCTGACCATCGTGCCCTGGCTGCGTCACCCAACTTGGTGTCATCCGGCTTGTCTAAATCAACCCGCAGGACTACACATGGTTGTTGGTTCCTCTTTGCTTTTTTGTCCGTCCGCCTTCCTACTCTTGGCCCCGTTGCAGGGTGGCTACATGCTCTACAAGCTGTCTAGTTCACGCTCTACTCGTCCACTTGTTTGTGTTCTTCCTGTTGCCTCCTTTCTGGGATGGCTTTTTCTTCATCTCGCTGGTCCCCTTCTTGTCTTCCTCGTCTTTTTGTGTTGTTTTACCAGGCATGTTTCTTTTTCGTGTCGGTCTTCCGTCTATGCGTATGTCCGCACTGCTTTCGTCTTTGTCGTGTTCCCGGTTCTTTGGCTGGGGGGCTCTTCGCGACGTTGCTCTTGGCCCTATGGCTTCTTGCTCTTCTGGCTCCATGGTACTCTGCCTTCCTTGTCTTCTCTTCTTCGTCTGTGCCCCTTCATCTCGACCCCACCTTCGACTTGACCGTGTTTTTTCTGCTCGCGCATTGTGGGTGCGGGGTGGATTCCTCGTCTTCCACCAGACTTCCCCGTGGTGCAAGGCTTGGGTCGTTTGCGCTGTTGAGGGCTCAACAGCCCTCTGCAAGCCCAAAACTTGGCCCCCATGCGTTACTTGTTTCTTGGTTGATGGTCTTGCCCGTGGAGGCCGGTTTTTGCTTTGTTGTTTTGTGTGCGTGCCGGATCGCACAGCGCATGGCAAGTCTCCTGCCCACGAAGACACTTGCCTTGGGTGGCGATACTGATAGTACCCGCAGTTGCTATTCCCGCAAGGCTGTGTGTGCTTCTCTCCTGATCAATCTTCCCCACCCAGACCTGGCCACCATGACATGGCTGAAGCTCGATCTGCGTCGCCCAACTGATGTCATTTGCCATGATCTAAGCCCGAACTTGGATTGAATCACTTCGTTCGGAGTCTACATGTGTGTGTGTGTGTGTGTGCGCGCGCGCGTGCGCGTTGGCATTTTTTCTTTTTCTGCGTCTACGTGTCTGTTTATGTTTGTGTCTATGCGCGTTCAGGTGTTTTGCCGGGCACTTGTACTGAATTTCCAGAATACTGTTATTTTGGAGCTTCGTGCGTATTTGAAGGTGAGCATGTTGGCTTCATGATCCGTCGCCCAACCGCCAGAATTTGCAGACACCGAGCAGAATGGCCACATGCCACATTTCATGGACAGTTTGGCGCAACCAATGTTCGGCAGGCTGGGTGGCTTTCCACAAAAAAACCAACAGCATGTGAACCCCAGAATGGTCATGATCATTCAGGGGCGCGCCATATCTTAGACGTGTTTTTCATTTTGGGACGGACGGGTCTTCTATTCCGGGGTCAACGACTGTGGCTTGAAGGGGCCCGCCTGAGATCAGCCTTAGCTAAACCAGGTGCATCCCTCGTATCCCAGGGTTACCTAGGTCCCCCAGTGCCCTTCTCTCCCCTTTTTCGGGGGGACGGCTTACCAAAAAAGACTACAGCAAAAAAGGGCAGCCTTATTCTAAGCTCTCTACTGGAGGACCTAGTGCCCTTTCTGCCCTTGATGGCTGTTTGCCGGGTGCTGACCTCCACATGCTTCGGACCTTGGATGAACCATAGCTTGGAGGACCATGCTAATCAGATCCCATCAGGTGTGTTCCCTGAAAAGCAACCCACACACGCGCCTGTTGCAGCGCTCGCAACTGCAAAAGCCGGGAAACCAGGATTGACTGAGGCGGACATCTGAACGCGAGAGTTCCACTTTTTCTCGTTTTGGTCAAAATCAACCACCTCCATGTTTAAGTCTAACTTGGGCTTTAAGTCTAACTGTTTCTCTGGGCTGTTCAATTAGGGTTGCTCCGAGTGTGTCCTTATTTAGAAGACCCCCCAAAAAAAACACCGCAAAAATGGGTTTCCTTTTCGTCTCCCTGAATCCCGACCCACCCTCAATGACGACGCACCCATATGTTGAAAACCGCCAATGTCGGAAATTGAGTTGGTTTCTTTGGGTGTTTTTCCTTTGCCAGGGGCCACATGCGAGGGTCTTTAGAGGCACTCCGAAATATCTGCTCGACAAGGAGCTAAGGGGACCAGGAACTAAGGGGACCAGTATGAATTGATTTCCATTGCCAGTCCCTTTTCTCCAATGTCTTTTTGAAGGAAACCAAAAGGAACACCACAATTTTGAGCCCCCCCCCCAAACAATTATTTGGACACACGCCCAAACACTTCAGGAAGACAACAGTTTTGCCCTTTTAGAACTGTGTAACAAACCACGCTAGCGGATCAATTTGGCATTGGTGCGGCGCGGTCAATTGTTTTAACTTATAATCTTATAAAGTCTTGCAAGTGTGAAAATTGACGGCCACGCTGTACTCTAAGGATTCTACGGGAAAAGGGTGTGAGCATCTGTTGTGGAAACCCAAGAGGGCAGAATTGTATCCTGCTGGTGTCAGGATTGGACACTCCAGATCCATGTTGAAAAGCTGAGGTTGCCGGCAGCTGTTTTCGACTTGGTTTGAGCCACACATGTCCGCCAGAAAAGTCGCAAGATCAGATTCCTTTAGTAGTTTGGTTTGTGTCCCTACTCCTTGTTGGCATTATTCCCGGCTTCAGCGCGGGGCCGAGAGTAGGTCAGAAGGCAAGCCTTTGCTAAGTTGAACCCATGAAAGGGGCTGACGCATTCTGTTAACCCATGGTCATAACTTAACTTAGGGTACCCCAACCCCCCTTTCCCAGTCTTATTGTGAGCCTATGTCACTCATCACTCTGTTTAGAAACCACTCTTTTCCCAGAAGCGAGGTGTGGGTGCAGCTAAAACTGTAGGGACCCCTTGGGCCATGGCTGTGGATGGTTGCGCAATCCGAGACCGCACCACGAATGAAGGCATGGTTTGTAAACTATATTGGATGTGCATGTGTCAGGGACTTACGTTGAATCGCGTCGTTCCAGTGTTTCTTCGGTGGTGCAACATGGATTTCGCAACCATCGACGGTTGAGACTCAGAGAGTCCAAGCACCTCCTGGCTCTTGCGGGGGCGTAAAACGGGGGTCATTTCAGTACCTCCTTAGAAGGTACCTACTTGGACCCTCTGGGATGGGCTATCGGATCGCTTGTCAGTCGGATCCCGGGAACCGGATCGGATCGCCAGGTGTGTCCTGGGCTTCGCCGTGTTGAATGCGCCTCGTCCGTGTCGATCGGAGGGCCCGCGCATGGAACCAGAGGGCCCGTTGAAGAGGGAATTGGTCTGAATCAGATTCCATGTGATTCCAAGTGCAGCAGGCCTCACTTGCCCCATATTTTTTTCTCAGAAGAGGGGCAGTGAAGTGTTCCCACACCATGTGAAGCCTGTACAATGGGAGGGTTTGTGTCAAAGTGCGGGTCGAAGCATGGCGGGTCTCCTTTGGCTTCTTTGTTGAGCCAAGTGAACGTGGTACCCGACACACACACACACACATCCAAATGGCTGTGATTGTTAATGTTGAACACCCTCAAGATTGCTTGGTGAATATAAATCCTCATGTAAATGAGATTCGCCGGTGTACTGTTCCCTCCTTGCATATGAACCACGAACTCCCTAGAAAATAATACCAAAGTGACTCTCTTTAGGACGCCCTGACAAGGCAGCGTGTGTCACCCTTGGCAAACAGAGAAGCGGGCGCCAGGTTTTTGGAATGATGGAGGCTGTGGCGAGTCCTCCATGCCAAGGTTCCTAGTATTCCGTCTCCATCAAGGGGAACACAACAGAAGGATCCCATTTGGTGTCAACAAAAAGCAGAAATTGAAATCCCCAAAGCACCAATCCAAACCAGCAAGAAGGAGTAACCTGAGATTCTTGCTGGAAAAAGCGAGCAGCGGGGCCATGTGGTAACCAACTGTCGTAAATGCTTGACGCATTTTGGTTCCAGGCGGTTGCTCTTTGAACGCCACTTCTGGATTTGTCACATCTTTGCTGTCGCGCTTGTGACCTGCGGGTGGATCGATCCCAGACCCGGCGCCGCGCCCCCGGGCCATTCACCTAGACCAGGCTGAGTCCCCGGCAAAGGCTTTGTCTGGCTGGCTGGAACTTGACCCTGGCAGCATGTTCGGGACGCTTGGCGTGCCTGGTGCCTTTACCAACGTATGCCGTCTGATCGGCGTGATGTCGCCGTCCTGATCGGCCGTCCTGATGCTGCACTTGGTGGTCGCCGTCCTGATTGGCCTGCGCAGGAATGTGCTTAACGCGGATGTTGCGAGCTTGGCACGTTCGATCGCATTGCGTGGACATGCCCCCGCAGACCTGTGGACACACCTATTTGGGTGGGTGATCCAACGGGCAAGTTGCGGACATGTTCGCTACGCATGATTGGCTGGTCTATGCTCAGAAGGCCATTTGGCGCGCGGCTCATGGCCCTTCCATGAGCGGCTGCGGCGTTTTGACCTTCGTGTGCGCTCGGCTGCATGCTGCGTCTGGCCTCTCCAGTCGCGTGTTGTTTGGTCACTTCTGCCCTTGTTCGGTCGTCGGTGGGCAATCTCGATGTCTTGCTTGAGGCTTGAGTGTGCTTCTTCGGGTGGTTGGGTCAGCTTTGGCCGGCCCCACATGCGTGTGCAGTTCGCTATGGGGCTGTCACACAGGTAGTTCAGGTTGGCGTGCAGTTCGTGAGTGGGTTTGGTGTCACGACCTTACCGGGCACACTCTCGATTTGACTGTTGACGATGAGGCTTCCTCTCGTCAGCACATCATCCGAGAAGCTTGGAGGGCGTGGTGCTTGGGGCAGCGCATGGCGTCAGACAGACGTGACGCAAATCTCGACTGTTTTGCTAATGGCTACTTTGGCAGGGTGGATTGGAAAGCAAATCGCAAGTTCGCTGCTTCTTGTGCTGAGGGCCGTACGATTTGCACGGGCGCGTCTTTATCGCCTTCTGCCTCGGTCGGCCGAGCACATGTTTCGCGTGGTTGTTTTTGGCGTTGTCATGAGGAGCTGGGCACGTGGGAGCATGTGGCTTGGGCTTGTCCTTACAGACCGGCTGATATCCCCATTCCCCCGCGTCCAGGTGATCCTGTCGGCTCGCTTGGGCTGGGTTGAGAAGGGACAGGCAGTCGACATGAATGCCGTGCATTCTTGGTTAGTTGTTGTCCAAAAGGCCATTTGGCGTGCTGTTCATGAGCCTGGTTCGTGAGTAGCCTCCTGGCCTCGGTCGCTTTGTTGCCCTTCCGGCTCCCGCAGGCTGCCTCTTTGGCTGCTGCTGCGGTGCGGCCGTTGGTTGGCCGGTTGGTGGTTCGGTTGGCTGGTTGGTGGTGGTTGCGGCCGGCTCCATGTCTCCATGGCTGTTTGGCCTTGAACGGGCGGCGGGGTCGGCTTGGCCGGCCCCACATCCGTGCGCAGTTCGCTCGGGGGCTGCCACCTATCCCTCCCCGGCCCGGCGAGTTCCTTTCGTCTCGCTTCGGGTGGGTGGTTGACGGGCAAGATGCGAACATGTTCGCGGTGCATGGTTGGTTGGTGCATGCTCAGAAGGCCATTTGGCGCGCGGCTCATGGCCCTTCTCCATGAGTGCGGCGCCTTGACCTTCGTTTGCGCTTGGCTGCACGCTGCGACTGGCCTCTCCAGTCGTGTGGTTAATGGTCGCTTTTTGGGGTGTTGTTTTTTTCTTCCCCCCTTGGTTGGTGGTTGGTGGGCAATCTCGATGTCGTGCTTGAGGCTTGAGTGCCCTTGCTTGGGAGGGTGGGTTGGCTTCGGCTGGCCCACTTCCGCGTGCAGTTCGCTTGGGGGCTGCCACACGTTATCAACGTCTACACACCGCTGAGGTAGTTAACGCCGTCTTCGTGCAGCAAACCATGAAGACCGCCAGCTCCGACGAGGACCTTGCCTTCAAGCAGCGGGAGAAAGACATCGCCATGCCGCTCAGACCAGAAAGCGGGGGCGGGACGGTTATCTCGGTGCGCGTTTTGCTTTGAGGGATTATGATCTAGGTCCCCAGTATATAATGCCATTTTACCCCTTTTTTTGGGGGGAGCGTTCCCCTAAAATAGACTACAGAATAAAGGGTACCCTTATTCTAACCTCTCAGGGACCCTGTGGTGGGTGTGGATTATTATGTCCATGAACGACGTCTAATGAAAAGCATCCTGGCCAGGAAGCTTCAACCCTTTGCTTGGTTGCAACTGGAAACAAGGAGTAAACACCACCTCGATGCAGACCCCCTTTTGATCCTTTAATCTGGGGTCTCCCCGAACTTTTTTTAATCTTTGAGGGTGATGAAGCAGAGTCTAAAACATGTCTTGGTGTTCCCCAGCTTTGCACGATATCATGCCACGCAGTGAAAGCACCATCGGCGGTTTATCGACCGGTATTCACATCAGGCTTCCGCCCTGTTTGCAAAATTTGTCGGCCAGGGCAATAATTTCAATCATGACCACCTTGTATTTGTAGGCGTTTTTTTGCCTTTTCTGTCTTTTTTATTCACTTATTGAGGGTACCCTTTTTGGGGCTTGTGCCAAAGCAACCGTTTATCAAAGAGGATTGCCAATGACTTACCAATTCCCAAGTTTGCAAACATGTGAGGTTCCCAGGGGCCCTCTCAGAACCGGCTTTTTGCAAAACCTCAGCCAAAGGCCTAGTGCCTTTGCCTTCATAAACATGTCATTGGCCGCGGTTTGTTTTGATTGAAGGTCTCAGACCAATGTAGGGTTTAGGGTCCTCCCAGCCATCCGGTTCCTTAGCTTGTAGCCTTGTGTTCAGTGGTAGTTTCCATTCAACCCACTAAAAGCTCGTCATTTTGAGCGGATCCGAAAACGGGCGGCAGCCCAGTCGGAAAAACGGCCAAAAGTTCCGCCGCTTTCATTGGCGCCTTTCACAGCCGTTCGAAGCTGAGGTACCATCGGAAGGTCAAGAAGTTGTTTGCCACCATGGATTCCTCAGGCGCGTGGGATCTGAAGGTGCATGTCTCGGAACATATATTACATGGAACCACGTATGGCGTTTCCCCCCCCCCCCCCCCCCGTCAGACTCCCGTATTTGGCTGTAATTGCTCGTATGGCTATTTTTCCGTCATTTGCGTAAATCACCCGTATGAAACCCGTATGGTGTCAACATTTTGTTGAACAAACAACGTAACAATCCGTATGGCCATTTTTCCGGTCCCCCGGCGTATGACCCAACAAAACGGCCATATGGGGTCCATGCTACAACATTTATGTTCTGGTTCCAGGTTGGCACGCGCCCTCAGAATCTGGGCTTCCTCAGACTTCAACAGCCTTTTAGCAGTGAGCGTTGGATTTGAATGTCCGACTTGAACTTTTAGCAAGCTTTGATTTGTTTAAGAACATGTTTTATTTCCCCTGTTGGTTTTTGGTTTCAAAAGGAATCCATCACTGGACATATTTTCATCTTTTTTCAAGGGGGCGAGAAAGCAAATGGAAGCAAGGACTCTGATTGCCCTCAGCCGGGCCGGCGGCTCTTTGGTTGGACTCCCCGGTGATTTTTCCCGGATGCCCAAAGGGTACCCTGAACTAGGTCTTTGGGCCCTTTTGCCGTTTCTTGGTGAGATTCGGTTCCCCTACCTTTTTTTGTTTAGACAATACTCAGAGAGAAGTTGGTGCCAACTTATTCTAAGCTCTGAAAATAGCCTACAGAAACCAAAGCCGGAAGCCTAACCTCTCAAATCTGGATAGTTGTTGTTTGGGCCATAGCGATTTGGAGAGGTATCTATCATCTATCTTCCCCCTACTCCAAATACCAACTTCTTCTAGGGTATTTTTTGAAAGACCTGGGTTTACCTCAAGGGTCTGGTGAAACCTTGACATGACTACGTCTAGTCCCCGCAGTGGGATACCAGGACCACCAAGCCTCAAGCAGCCTGCCTCAAGCAGCGGCGCACTAGTGGGACTGTGTTGGTGCATTTTGCTTGGATGTTCGGACTTTAACTTTTCGCCAACTAATGGGTTTTCCGAATTAAACCACTAAAGGTTAAACACTTTTAGCAGGGGAGCAGAAAGCCAGCGAGTATCCCATCTGCCTTTCGGGCGCACTTGAATACAGCTCCCTTTCCATACCCACTACCCTCTCTCCAACTACCATAGAGGTACCCTTCCGCGGGCGCGATCTGTGGGAGGGAGGGTACCCATGACCTAAATCCAAGGTGCAGTTGGCCCCAAAGCTGGGGTGCGGTTGGCCCCCCTTTGTTGGTCACCTAGGTTTTGCAGTAGTGCTCTTTTACCGCCCCTTTTTTGGTTGGGAGGATTCCCCTACTAAAATCGACAAAACCGAAAAAAGATGGTGCCACCTTATGCTAACCTCTCCAATCTGGAGGAAGGGACCGGGTGGATCGGCAGCGGCTTCTCAGGCGATGGGGCGATCAACTTCGAGGAGTTTTCGAAGTTGGTGAAGTCGCCCAAGCTAAGGACAGGGGGATAATGGGGGGGGAGGATGGGGGAGAAGGCCGCATTCAAGGGGAGGATTGGTTCCCCTCTAAAATAGACAAAGCTGAAGAAGTTGGTAGCCTTATTCTAACCTCTCTATTGGAGGACCTAGGTTCTCTCTCGCTCTCAAACCACAATTAACAAGGCTGGTGACCCTTAGTAGCTAGGCGTGTTAAGTTTTTTGGAGGGCACCTTCTTGGTTAAAGGGAAACTAAAGGGAACGCCGAAATCTATGTTGGGGGGGTCCCCTATGTTATGGCACCCCCAGTTTCTGTGGCAGTCCTGTTGTGACTTGCCTGTTGGGAATCTGATGACTTTCAGTTACCAAGCTGGCGCTGAACTTGTTGCACCCTCCCTTCGATTCACTGAGCAAGTGACACAAGATGTTGGACACCAAAAATCCTAGTTTGGCACACACCGGAAACTGCAGGTGATCAAAGTCGGAGACTGGGGTTTGCTATGGCGAGTCTGATGGTGGGTTGCGTTGATGCTGGACAAACTCCTGTAAGGGCCAAAACAATTAAATGTGGTTGTGGGGTACTTTCATTCCGTCATGTTCATAAGAGAGGATGTGTGCCAGCATGACGAAGTATCCCTTCATGGGGTCCCATCGCCAGCAAAAAGCGGGACACATATTAGGGTACCCGTTTAACGGGTTCTAATACGCTGGATCCAGCTTGCACCAAACAACAATCATGTTTGTAGTAGAGCCTATTTGTTAGCGCTCATTTTGGTTTACCCAAGGCACAACATGTGCAGATACCAGGTTCTTGGAGCAAGAGGAAGATTGCATGAGTTCATTGTGTTGTTGGGTCTGGCATGTAGGTGATTGGAGCGACGGGAAGGTTGCATGCATGCGCCACATGTGCCGTTGTGCACTGCAGGAGGCCTCATGCCAGATGCTTCTTACAAGCAGAAACGGAACAGGTACATGTCCTACCAGTTGTCCTCTAGGTGTTCAGACTTCAGGGCCCAGTACTTCAGCTTTTTCTAGCTTGAGTTGGTGTTGATCTTTTGTTGCTTTAGAGGGACATGGTTGTGATGACTGGCAGGGGTTGTCTTCCAGTGGCGCATCCCTGAGGCTTCCAGCCGCGTTTTTCCTTTTCGCAGGTTCTGGATGAGTCAGCTGGAGCCGCTTGCTGCAGACATGTCTGACTCAGGCTGCGGTGAATTGCATGAGTTTTGATTTCTCTGGGGCATCAACATAGAAACATTGCTTGGTGCATGTCCATTTGTGGCGGAAATTGGTCGTGAAAGTGGTGGTGGCGGTAGCAATTGTTAGTGGTAATGGGGGGTGTAGTAATTTAGTGCTTGTGGTGGATGAAACCCACTGAGTACTGTGTGAAGAACCACCTCCAACTGGTGCAGGCGGCTTTGTTCATCCACCGCACGTAGCCGAAGGAGTGATTGAACAGGAACATGGTTGAGTAGCTACCATACTAGCAACTGGAATCCACATTGGAGCTGTCATCTTTCGAAACCGTTCGGTCGGCTTGCATTGTTGCTGGAAAGAGTGTGTGTGGATATGTGCGGGTGGCCCCCCGCACATCAACTAAAGTGTGGTTTTCTGGCACTTCTGGGGATGGAAGTGCCGGCAGCAGTTTTTGCGCTATCAGGGGCTTGTTTTTAGTGATGCAGATCGCACTGATCGCACTCTGGCGAGCTTACCGAACGGGAGTCAAAACGAGCGATATCGCCAATTCCGCGCTTTGAGAGATGCTTTAAGGGCTCCGCAAAAGGGGGCTGTTGGGAAACTGTAAAGTCGTTTTAAGTTCGGATAGGAGAACAACACCCGTGATGAAGCTTCTTCTCTTGGCATCAATTGTCCTTTCGGGTTGGTGATTTGTTATGATTCACTGCTATTTTTTGCTATTGCCAAGCCCAGATGAACCAAGCACAATCAATATTTTCATTGACACCGGGTCTTTCCCCCAAAGTGAATCATGCCCTTACATATATTATTGGACACCACCCCAGTAACCCCAGGTTTCTGTCAGGGAGGTGTGAACATATGAGCGTCGAGGCTTTGCAGGCTGGATGCGGTGTATCTCCTGCTGCGTACCTAGTTGAGATGGCGGATTTGTTTGGGGTGCCCTTTCGAGAGGATGTGGCCATTCTTGGGATCCCAATTTTTATTTTGACACACACGTCATCTGTTTTGGAGACGACCCTATGCGGAGCACAAAACCGCACAGCCCCAGACAGGTCCCGGAAGCCTTCGATCGGAACCACGAAAGTTCCAAGAGCCTCGAGCCTTAGCTGCGCACACGCTATGACGACCGCTGGATCACGGAATCCACAGCCACTTGCAAACAAGTCAGCCGTGTGTGGCACAGGGAACTCGAGCACCGCGACCTGCAGGAGAACCAAAGCAAGTGGGACTTGGCCGGAGGTCAAGCGACCAGACAACGCAGAGGTGCATTTTGCCAAGGGATGTTAGGACTTTAACTTTTTGCCAACTGATGGGTCTTCCATCAAACCTCTAAAAGTTTTTCACTTTTAGCAGGGGAGCAGAAAGCAACCAGACAACCGCTGAGCTGCGCCTTGCAAGCCGCGGGGCTGGACGGAAAGCTGAAAATACGCCAAAAGAAGATTCTGGGCACGAAGGAGAACACGCTGGACAGGCAGGCGGCCATGAGGAGACCAAGCGCATGGACACAGCGCTGGCAAGATGGTCCAAAGCCCTGGCACACAACATGAGGGGGAAAAACTGGGGTTTTTCACACAACATGAAGGGGAAAAACTGCAGGTTTTTCCAAATCCACCGCCCTGACCACCGCTGGCCGCTGCAATTAAACGTTTTCCCCCCAAGAACAGTGCTGAAAAGGGAAGCTGGCTCGCGGTTTTTCTTGCTGAGGTTGGAGTACCATGATTTGTTGAGCCTTTTCGAATTTCTCGACAACGGCGACGGCCAGATCACGCCCCTGGGCCTTCATCCTGACAAGGATGTACATCGGGGTCCCCCAGTAGTGCCCTTTTGCCCTTCTTCGGGGAGGGCTCCCCTACTAAAATAGGCTACAGAACAAAGGGCACCCTTATTCTAACCTCTCTACTGGAGGACCTAGATACAGAACGATAGCCATATTTTTCCCATGGCCACGGGGGGATCTGGGTTTGGGACAGTTGAACCATCACATCCACTTTTACCATATTTGGAGGATCCGGTTCCTTGTAAAGCTGGTGGCTGTGTTAGAATCTAGTTTGATCATTTTTGTACCTGCGGTTTTTTCAGTGTTACGCCCATTGCACTTTGCAATCCAGTTTTGCATCCGCGAGGCTAACTTAAGGGAGCCAGTTGGTCAGACAAATCAATTGTTTCCCGGAGGCATGTATTTCATAATGCGGCTTCACGCAATGTCATTTGGATGAATCAACCTGATGCGTTTTGGCCAGGGTGCTTTCTCCAAAAGTGCAGGGGCGACTGCGAAAACGGCACCCATCTCCCCTCCCGAGCGTATGCATTTGGGCGGTCAGCACAGCACCCATCGCTTCATGCAGATTCGCTGGACTCGCTCTCTGACTTCCTCAACTTGTTCTAGCGGCTGAAAAAAGCCATAATATGCTCGGAGTTGGCACCCATTTTAGAACCTATTTTACGTTTTTTTAGTGGTGTCTTGCGACGCACCTCGGTTTCTTGTTGTACACCGGTCACATCGGAGATCCGCCTCCAGTGTCTCAAGAAACCTTCGCTTGGTACTGTGCATGGTTGCGAAATCCATTTCACACCACCCTGGAAACCCTAGAATGATGCTTCCGCTGCAAATACCAACAAAGCATGGTAGTTTCCCTGCAAATTCGTCCATCCACAGTAGGTAGGGTGAGTGGATGAGAAGTTTCCCTGCAACATTCGCAGCAATTCTGTTTCGTTGCGGGTTCCTCTGACATGGGCGGCGTTTTAACCTTGTGGGATCCCGTCCATGTTTAGTGAAGGTGCTAATCAAGACACTACAACAGGTAAGCCAGCTTCCTTTTGGTTTTAAGAAGGCAACCACGTAAAATGGACTCACTAGATCGGGTTCCTTGATCTATGTTTCGTGAGGGTTTCAAAGGGCTAATCTGTGATGTCCCGATCCTTCTGGCAGGTGAATTTCCCAGCGTCCATGTGGGCGTGTATTTTTGAGGGTACCGTTGTGGGGGGTCTCCCTATGTTAACATAGACTGTCGCCTGTGTTGGTCCTGGGGGGTTCGTTTGATCCACCTTGCTCTTTCCAGTTCCGTTTCCCGCAACCGAAAGAACAACCCTTCAGACAGCACTGGAAAATGGAGTGTCCAAGAGTATGCTGGCAACTGGGATCTGTTGCTGACCAGCCCGGCACCAGTTGCGCATGGCAGTTTGGTTGTTGCTTGAACCCCCCCCCCCCCCAGTTTTCTATTGAAATGGGAAGCACAACCAATCCCAAACACCTACTACACAGGAGACGGACGGTACTATTACCTTTGTGTCTCTAAAGAGTTTTGCCATTATAAAGAGAATAAAGAAGTGAAGAGGACCCAGCACCCTCGAGCAACTGCTTTTTCCCGCGTCCAAAAAAAACCCGGACTGTCCAAGCAGCAGTGGTTGAGGGGTGCTGGGCAAAACCATGAGGTGGTTTTCCATTCCTTGCTGTTTCTCAGCAGGGAATGAGGGAATGACTATCAACGATCCCCTACTTCCTTTAAGATCTTGAGCATACCTAGGTTCATTGCCACGGGGCATTACTTCTGCTGGGAATAGGAACGGCACCCCAGAAAAACCATCCCTTAAGGGAATCCCAGGTTCATTCCCAACAGGTTACTTCTCCTCCAGCTAAGACATGACAATGTGGTTGTTTCAGGAGGAAATTTTCGGGAATGACCCCCGAAAAATCCCCATCCCCTCTGAGCCTCTGTTTGCCATGTCAGTTTCAGCAGGGAATCAGGGAAAACAACAAGCACCAGAAAAAAGCAGAAGAAGCATCCATGATGAGATTCAGGGAATCAGGGAAAATAACCATCCCCAAGGAAAAAATATATAAAAAAGACCAACACGTCCATGATGCGGTTCTTTTCCATGAAGCACCCAGCTTCGCCCACTCGCCGCGCGCCCGGCGTCCGCTTCCGAGGCTCTCGGAGTTCATCGATGGCGCCGCGCGGCTGCGGGGCAGCGCCAAGGCGATCGATGTCTGGCGCATGGAGACCAAGGCGGTCGTGGTCGTCGAGGGCGATGGGGGGGTTCTCGGTGGATGGAACTGGCCCGGACCGGGATTCTAGAAAAACCGGTGTTTTTGTTTTTCCCCAAACAGTTTACTGTGAGGGGTTCTAAATTCATTTAAGGTGGCTCGCCTGTTGCCAAGCCCTAGCCTGGATGCCTGGCACAGCTCTCTGGGTGGACGGGTTCATTTGTCTCCCTGTGTCTCCCTTCATTTGTCTCCCGTTGTCTCCCCGCCTGGATGCCTGGCACGGCTCTCTGGGTGGACGCGTTCGTTTGTCTCCCTGGGTTCACTTGTCTCCCTTTGTCTCCCTTCATTTGTCTCCCGTTGTCTCCCAGCCTGGATGATCCAGTCTGGGTGGACGGGTTCATTTGTCTCCCTTTGTCATTTGTCTCCCGTTGTCTCCCAGCCTGGATGCCTGGCACGGCTCTCTGGGTGGACGGGTTCATTTGTCTCCCTTTGTCTCCCTTCATTTGTCTCCCAGCCTGGATGCCTGGCGCGGCTCGGGTTCATTTGTCTCCCTTTGTCTCCCTTCATTTGTCTCCCGTTGTCTCCCAGCCTGGATGCCTGGGTGGACAGATTCACTTGTCTCCCTTTGTCTCCCTTCATTTGTCGCCCGTTGTCTCCCAGCCTGGATCTGGCACGGCTCTCTGGGTGGACGGGTTCATGTGTCTCCCTTTGTCCCCTTCATTTGTCTCCCGTTCTCTCCCAGCCTGGATGCCTGGCACGGCTCTCTGGGTGGACGGGTTCATTTGTCTCCCTTTGTCTCCCTTGATTTCTCCCGTTGTCTCCCAGCCTGGATGCCTGGCACGGCTCTCTGGACGGGTTCATTTGTCTCCCTTTGTCTCCCTTCATTTGTCTCCCGTTGTCTCCCAGCCTGGATGCCTGGCGCGGCTCTCTGGGTGGACGGGTTCATTTGTCTACCTTTGTCTCCCAGGATGTCTGGCACCCCTTTGTTTCCCTTCATTTGTCTCCCGTTGTCTCCCAGCCTGGATGCCTGGCACTGTTTTTTTGGTGGACAGATTCACTTTTCTCCCTTTGTCTCCCTTCATTTGGCTCCTGTTGTCTCCCAGCCTGGATGTCTGTCACGGCTCTCCAGGCGGACGGATTCACTTGTCTCCCTTGGTTCCCCTTCATTTGTCTCCCATCTCTGTGGGTGGACGGATTCATTTGTTTCCCTTTGTCTCCCTTTATTTGTCTCCCGTTGTCTCCCAGCCTGGATGCCTGGCACGGCTCTCTGGGTGGACGGATTCATTTGTCTCCCGTTGTCTCCCAGCCTGGATGTGTGGCACTCACGCTCCGCGGTTTCCTTCACTTCCCGCGGTTCTGTCCTTTTGGCGGGGTCTGGTTTGCCTTCGGCTTTGGCCCTGGCTTCGGTCATTCCTTGTCTTGTGGATGTTGGGGACAGGGTCCTCCTCTGTCTGCCCTTCATTTGGACTTCGATTTCGCTTGGGCTCGTGGTGGGTCGTCTTCCTTGTCTATCGTTGGCTACACCCTGTCTGTTCGTTCAGTGCAGTTGCGGTCCCGAGCTGACGATAGCGGTGCGCTGCGGTGCGCGGCTTCAGCTACGAGAAGGCTCTGTTAACCCCCCGGAGAAACAAACGTGAATCACGCTGGAGTTAAATCCTCTATCGATTCTTCGAGGATGTTCAACGAACCTTACGCTGAGATACCCAGTGGTGCTCTTGGCACCTGGGGTTGTCCCGGCTCTCCCGGCGGACGGGTTCATTTGTCTCCCTCTCCCTCCATTTGCCTGACGGATTCATTTGTCTCCCTTTGTCTCCCTTTATTTGGCCCCGGTTGTCTCCCAGCCTGGACGCCTGTCACGGCTCTCTGGACGGGTTCATTTGTCACCCTTTGTCTCCCTTCATTTGTCTCCCGTTGCCTCCCAGGCCTGGATGCCTGGCACGGCTCTCTGGGTGGACGGGTTCATTTGTCTCCCTTTGTCTCCCTTCATTTGTCTGGCACGGCTCTCTGGGCTTTGTTTCGCTTCATTTGTCTCCCGTTGTCTCCCAGCCTGGATGTCTGGCACGGCTCTCCAGGCGGACAGATTCACTTGTCTCCCTTTGTCTCCCTTCATTTGTCTCCCGTTGTCTCCCAGCCTGGATGCCTGGCACGGCTCTTTGGGTGGACAGTTTCACTTGTCTCCCTTTGTCTCCCTTCATTTGGCTCCCGTTGTCTCCCAGCCTGGATGTCTGTCAGCTCTCCAGGCGGACGGATTCACTTGTCTCCCTTGGTTCCCCTTCATTTGTCTCCCATCTCTGTGGGTGGACGGATTGATTTGTCTTCCTTTGTCTTTGTCTCCCGTTGTCTCCCAGCCTGGATGCCTCTCTGGGTGGACGGATTCATTTGTCTCCCTTTGTCTCCCTTTGTTTGTCTCCCGTTGTCTCCCAGCCTGGATGCCCCTCTGGGTGGACGGATTCATTTGTCTCCCGTTGTCTCCCAGCCTGGATGTGTGGCACTCACGCTCCGCGGTTTCCTTCACTTCCCGCGGTTCTGTCCTTTTGGCGGGGTCTGGTTTGCCTTCGGCTTCGGCCCTGGCTTCGGTCATTCCTTGTCTTGTGGATGTTGGGGACAGGGTCCTCTGTCTGCCCTTCATCTGGACTTCGATTTTGCTTGGGCTCGTGGTGGGTCGTCTTCCTTGTCTATCGTTGGCTACACCCTGTCTGTTCGTTCAGTGCCTCGTTATCAGTTGCGGCCTCTCTCTGTCCTTGCTCGCATTTGGAGTCCCGAGCTGACGAGAGCGGTGCGCTGCGGTGCACGGCTTCAGCTACGAGAAGGCTCTGTTGCCTGACAGATTCATTTGTCTCCCTTTGTCTCCCTTTATTTGGCCCCGGTTGTCTCCCAGCCTGGATGCCTGTCACGGCTCTCTGGGTGGACGGATTCGTTTGTCTCCCAGCTTGGATGTCTGGCACGGCTCTCCGGGCGGACGGGTTCATTTGTCTCCCTTTGTCTCCTTCTTGTTGTCCCCCAGCCTGGATGCCTGGCACGGCTCCCTGGTCATTCGCGGTGTATTCCGCGGGCACGCATGTGTGTTTGAGGCTCAGAAACGTGTGTTTGAGCGCGCGCGTGCGCTTGATCAAGCCACAGGCAGCATGCTGCGGATGCACGTACGAGTGCTTCAAGTAAATGATTGTGTGTTCTTGGTGTGTTCCAGCTGACCACATCGGCGCGTTCCAAGTGAACACGCACTTTTTGCATGTGACCACATGAGTGTGTTCCACGTCAGCACATGTTTGTGTTCCAGGTGAAAGCATGCGATTGTTCTGATAAAACACATATGCGATCCGGTCAAAATTCCTAGTAAGGGGGTTTAGTCTACAGAGGCCACCGTCGCAGTCACTTTGTGCAGTTTTTCATTCACACAAAGCGGAGTCCTGCAAATACCAATGGATTGCCCGCTCCCCACTGGAGGCGCTAGGATGGCGCTTGGTTTGCGCTAGGGTCTTCGGTGATCTTGGTTTCCAAGAGTTGGCGCGTGGGTTGCCGCGATGGGCTTTGCGTGGCTTTCAAGGGTGTAATGTTGCAGTTCTTACTTAGTACTTGAAGCCAGCCCGCACGTTTACCTTCATCTTACGTGGCCTTAATTTGTCAAATCCACACAGATGGTCGCCGTGACTCCAAAAAATACGGCGAACCCGCGCTAGCCGCGCGCTAGCAAGGCGCTAGCGCAGTGGTCAGCTGTGACCGGTTCCCAGTTACGCTTCAATCCAAATTTGCTTCCGCTCTCCTCGCATGCAATTATCATGGAGTGCGATTTGCTGGACAAAGGGGAGAAACAACGGCTGAGGCAAGACGGCAGGGATGCCTTGTACCGAGCATACGGAAGAATTGGGTTGCGTATTTCCCTGCGAAAGCAAATGCTTTACTGAATCGATACGAAGAGTTGCCACAATACGATCAAAGCACTTTAGCAATCGATACGAAAGACACTGTGCAGCTAAGCGAGAAAGAAGCGCAATGCGCCGGAAAGCTTTTGCTAAGCTGAAGCCTGTAACTGCTGGAGACGCATCCGATACTGATAGTACTAGCAGTAGTAGCAGCAGCAGCAGCAGCAGCAGGCTCGCACGCTAGCAACATGTTGCAAAAAAGCTTGATTGATCGTACACGAACACTATTTTCCTACTTGGGACATGCATATAAAACACAAGCGTTGTTCAAGGCAGAGCCCCATGGAATAGCGCCTCACAGTCGGCTTCGGGAACTTGATTTGTCCATGCGAACACATTTTTGTTGCCCAGGTGAACGCATGTGTGTTGCACATTTGTGTTGCACATGTTTCTCCACATGTGCACACACGTGTGTTCCATGTGTACACATATGTGTGTTACAAGTCAACACAGAAGTTTGTTCTGGTTAAACATGCTTGTGTGATCCAGGTCTGCACCAGTGTCGCACGTGAACACAAATGCCTGTTCCAAGTGAGCGCATATATGGGTTCCAGGTGAACACATATGTGTGTTGCAGGTGAACAGAAATGTGCTTTCCAGACATACACACATATGTGTTCCAGGTGTACGCATGTGTGTGTGTGCGTGTTCCGGGCGCGCATATATATATATATATATATATATATGTGTGTGTGTGTTCGCGTGTGCACATATGTGTGTTCCACATGTACACATATGTGCGTTCACGTGCGCACATATGCGTGTTGCACGTGTACACATATGTGTGTTCACGTGTACACACATGTGTGTTCTTATCAGACACGTGTATGTGTTCCAGGAGAACACATGTTTGTTATCAGATGAACACGTGCGTGTGTGTCTGCTCCGCGTGCACTTTTTTTGTATGTGTGTTCACGTGCACACATTGTGTGTTCACGCGTGCGCACATGTGCGTTCCAACTGGACACGTGTTTGTGTTCCAGGAGGACACATGTTTGTTATCAGATGAACACGTGTGTGTGTGTGTGTCTGCTCCGCATGCGCATGTGTGTGTGTTCATTTGCACACATATGTGTGTTCCACGTGCACACATTTGTGTGTTCACGTGTCCACACATGTGTGTTCCAATTGGACACGTGTTTGTGTTTCAGGTGAATACATGTTTGTTTTC